CCCTTCATAACTTCCTGTGATTTCCTTATTATAGCAGGATTGGATAACAGCTCTTATCTTCTAAATGTAATGTTCCCACTGAGGCATAAACATAGACTCACTGTGTACATTTTGGGTTGATTTTGGTTCACATTTAGTTATTTTTGTTGAGACAGGACATGTACTTGTAATGTTAGCTGCAAATATTAAACATATATATATACATATGTTTCATATATACATACACAAATTAATGTTATCAATATACAATCACTGACATGTACATTTTCACAAACAAGATGCAATATTTATTTCCATCTTGCTGCAATTTTATTAAATCGAACCAGAGTTTGTTTCCTCCTTCCACTTTCCCTTCCTCATAAATAGGAGACGATTTGAAAAAATTTGAAACGATTTTGGACTGTCATTAGTATGGTGTATGCCTTTATTTGCCCATAACGGGCATATGTATTGTTTCATATTTAAGTCGTTATCTTTGTTGTTATTTTCAAATATATGGATACCATTGGTCAGTATGACAACAGATGACGCAACAATCCATTTACAAAAACTGTTTGGTACTCCACTGTGTAATTCCTGCTCCCCACTCTTTGCTCTCAGCTCCAGTTCTGTTTGTAGGAACCATCCAATATCTCTGTTAAAAAAGTTTGTTTGACTATAGGCAGTTACAAGGATTGGACTGAAAATGAATCAAAGATCAGAAGTCTGAGAATCTAAATATGAAGAAATTAGGTAGCATAAGACTTTTAAACAGAATGATAAGTTGGTCCAAGTGAAAGTGGCCATGCTTATTTGTTCTAAATCATTTTTACATACATCTTTTTTTTGTTCCAATACAGGCGCCTAAAGAAAAAAATCGTGTGGTTTCTATAGAATTTAGCCCCATATTGTGTCACTTTTACAGGACAAAGAAAAGCAAAATTGCTTCAAAAGATTGGTGACAATCATGGACGTAAAATGGAAAATGCACAGTACATTTGTTTGGCTGAATGGCAAGATAACTTCTATGTCACCACCACTAAGACAAAACAAGAGGAATGCCTTTAACAAGCTTTAAATCTATGTCCTTATTAAGCTTATTTGCATTTCATAACTGCACAAATGTACTATATACATTTTTAACACTGAAGTTTAAATAAAAGATTCAATATTATATATTCGATAGGGCAAGTTAAGTTTAAAGTTTAAGTTTACTTGCCACATTGTCACCGAAGGTTGTTTTTTTCCCCTCGAAAAGCTTGAGACAGCGCTTCAACTGTGACTAAATTCTGATGGAATGACATGATCAAAGTTGTTTGAACAGAGATTAATTCAGCAGTGCGTCTCTTGTTCTTTTAATCTCTACTCAGTCCACTGTTTTATTCGCTGGATAAGGGCAAGATAAGAATGAGAGGGAGTGGCTTTTTCAGTGGGGCACATAGAGGGTGGAGGGGGCGGGGGGGGGGGGTAGTTAAGTGCATCACAAACCACTGTGCAGACACAGGGAACTTCCTTTGTCAGAGTGATCATAGTGAAAGGGAGTCGGCTCTGAAATAACAGTTTGCGCCTCAACAATGCCGGAGAGCTTCCTTTCTAAATGGTAAGCTTAGACTTTAAGGCTTTTTTTCAGGGCGGCCCTTGAAAGCGAAAGCTTTCACGGCAGTGCCCGTCTTAATGGAAGAACCAGGCTAATTACAGTGGAGACCGCACTCCATCATGCTACCATGATACTTCATAGGGCTTTTAAAAGGGAAGCATGGTTTATGAATTCATTTTACATTGTAATATGACACTTTCTCTCTGACTGAGATCTAAACCTGTCCATTTGTGTGAGCTTTCCGGCAACACAGCAAGTCTCTGCTTTTCCTTCTCTCAGCAAGGGGAAGGCGCGGCCTTGAAGTGTAATAGTGAAACTTGTTAAAATGTGTTTAGACTTGCCTGACTGGCCCCCTTTTTTGCTGCTGCTGTTCGCACTGTTCGCACCTCAAAGCAAGAGGGTTCCTGGTTTGAATTTACATGGGACCGGGTACACGTTTTCTTGATATGATACTCTGACTTCCTCCCACAGTCCAAAAACAAGCATGTTAGGGTAATTGAAGATTATGATTTGTTCCAGGAATGAGTAATTATCTGTGTGGCCCTGTGATGGACTGGCGACCTTTCCTGCCTCGACAGATTAATGTATAGCCGTTTTTCAGAGTTAATATCAAACACTTGATCTGGGTGGAGCAGGCAGTTACACTCAAGCTACTGGGGTTAGTGATATATAATGTTAAAACTTCTCTTAACCACTAACTACATTCAGGGATAGTTGAAAACGTCAGTGTTTGCTCACAGTAAGCACTGCCACTCCTCCCTGTGTGTAATCCTAAATTAAACCAGTCACGCCTGTCTCTATGTACACTCCATGCATTTACAGTCTTCCCAGATCTCACCACAAATTTGAAAAAAAAAAGTTTAAAAGAATAGAGCTGAATTACATTACACAGAGTTTTTGTGAATGGCTGTAAGTGTTGTGTCATGTTTTTGGGCAAATGTTTCCGTTCAAAGCTAAATGCTAAATTAGTCATATGGTCAGTCTGTAAAAAGTGTTCCAAATGGGTTATTATTGAGTTGACTATATCTGTTACAGTCGAGTCAAGTAGTAAACAGAATATGTTTTCAATCTGTGAAGTCAGTACTCCATGTTAATGTGCACTGTGTCTTAAAAGGCACAAAGTCCAATTAGTTTAGTGCTTGTAGCATTATGTTTGCCTCTTGGCTGTTGTGGGTCCTGCAGGATGCACACCCTAATGGACACTTAACACTGGCAGCAGTGGGCAACTGAAAAGGATGCGGCCGAGAGAAGCCAATAAGGATGTCTCCCCTTTGTCTCAGCAGTGAAAGAGCTCGATGGACAAAAGCTAGACGGTGTATATTTCTGTCTGTGCTGCTTTTCGGGATGGGGACGCTCTTCAATTTGAGGTCGCTGACATCGTGGCCTTTACACTTTTGGATAAAAAATACATTTTCAAGTCGACTTACAGTCGAAAGCGTAAGTGCATTTACTGGCTTCTTCTAATTACCAGCTTTGATTCCACATTTCTCCACAGCATATTTTTGATTTCTTGATTTCTTCTCCTGTTCATCCAGTTTAAATGTTTCTGTGAGAACACTTTTCGTTTCCACAATGTTCTATCATTTGTTGATTCTATGTGCTGTCATCATAAAATTAGTTTCTATCATTTGTAAGACTGACTGAGAATTTATGGGACATGAAAGTGCAGATGTAGTTTTTTAAAAAGAAATTAAAATTTTAGATGTATTTCAGACTAAAACGTATCTTTATAACGAGAGCTGAAGGGACAAAGTACATAGCAAAGTATTCTATTTATGGACAAATATGAGTCAGAGTGATGTATCAAAGAGAGAGCCATCCTCCCCCAAATGTGCCCATATTCATCTCAGATGAATTTGTTTCCTGTAGACGTTCTCAGGGTGACTGCAGACAATGTGTGAAAGATGGTTTCACAAGATATTAGTTGTCTTGAAATAGGTTTTATGGCCTTCACTGTGATCATTTTCCGACCTAAACCAAGTGGCACATGTGCCTAAAAAAATGACAAGGACGTTTTGTAAAAGTTTTAGCATAATGTTCTCTTAATTAAGTAACTGAGGCAGCTATAAGGTTGACTGCTTTCTTTTAAATAGTCCTATAAATTTCCTATAAAAATGTTCTGTGGTGTTACTGAACAAAGACAGTTGTCAATCTTTGTCTTTATCTTATCCCCTCCCTCCATCCATTCCTCCCCCCTCCCTTCCTTCCTTCTATTAGAACAGGTGACTTCTTCAACATGTTCTTTGGATTGGTAGGCTCGTCGGTTTCACACGTACGAGCTCGGCATTGGCTAAATAAGTAGTAGTCTTTAGATATGGCCCTACGAACCAAATGCCATTGAATGGACAAACCAAATGGAGCTTACATGCAACACAGGGCTTACTAAAGATGTTTTACTGGTCCCTACATCCTCTTGGTTGTCCAGGGTTTTACCACCTTACACCTTTTCAAAGCCCGATATGAGAAAAAAGGTTTTGACTAAAGCAAGGTGGAATCTTCAAGCTTTAGCATACATTTCCCGCTAAAATTTCCTGCTCAAATAAAAAAGTGGGAGGGATTGAAAGCCAGGTTTGAACCTAGCAGGGAGAGTTTTAAATGACTGTTTGTGATCAGTTGGCCTTTCAGAGAAACTCTGGTAAGGAGTAAGTATTTCAAAAAATGGTGGCTTTAGGGAAATTGTGGTTGGGTGATGTTATGGAAATTAACATGAGAAAAGAAACTGAAATAAGTATTTCATGAAGTGAACTGGTAGGATGTAGAATAGCGAAGGCTTTAAGTTGTCATTGTTCTTTTTTGTATTCGTCTTCTCTTTTTAACTGGGCAGTAAGGGAAGATTCATGGTACCAATTTCAATTTTAACAAAAAAAAGATTGTTTTGCACAAAGCATGTGAGATAAGTGTAGATAAGAAAAAACAGGGAAACATCTGAAACATCCCTTGCTGGGCAGTAAGGGAAGAATCATCGTACCAATTTCAGTTTTACTGTTTATTAAGACTGTTGAAGTATATAATATTAGCACAAATTAGTACAAGAATTGAGTAATATGCATTCCATACTACTTGCAATTTACACAAATGAGCAAAAAAAAAATGATTTCACAAAAAAAAATTGTTTTGCACATAGCATGTGAGATAAGTTTAGATAAGATAACAGGGGGAAACATCTTGTAATAATACTATGCAACAAAAAGTATAAACTCATCTTATTTGTCTGCAGACGTCATTTTCTTACTATCCACCATTGCAATACTTTGTGGAATACCCACACAAATACGATTTCATTTTGGATGAACCAAACAGATGTCGCCAGGAGAGCCCGTTCTTGGTTCTCGTGATCCCTGTCACACCAAACAACACAAAGGCCCGGGACATAATTCGCAGAACGTGGGGAAATCAAACTGTTGTTCTGGGCCAAGAGATCCGTCACTTCTTCCTATTGGGACTGTCAATGGGACAGAACGGGACGGAGCAACCTGAGCCAGAGGTGAGGTCATTCCCCTTTAAACTTCATGAGCATCTTCCTCTAAACATGTTTGTGTCTAATAAAGAAGACCAGTATTATTCCCCAACCATCAGGGAATGACGTCGGTTCCGCTCTGTTTACTTGATTTTTTAAAGTGGTTAGTTTTGTCTCCAATATAATATAGTTGACTTGTTTAATAATTGCACTTATTAAAACTAATTGATATTCGTGATGTATTCTCAAAAAAGAATATTGAAATGTACACTTATTAGCACAAATATTTAAACCATATAATCTGTGCGTCAAGTATCATTTATTTTGAAGAAGTTAGCTTTATATATATCGATATTTCACACAAAGATTCATGTTGGAGGTATAGGCATTAATTTTGATATAGTCAACTAAAATACTCATCAAGATGATATTAAACATGTTTATTTAGTATGTATACCAAAATATTACTGTCACATTTACTGGCTCTATATAACTATATATATATATATATATATATATATATATATATATATATATATATATATATATATATCTGGACTCAGTGGAGGAAGTGGCTGAGAGGAGAGTGTTGTCCAAACTAAGATCTATTATGGACAACACCTCTCACCCCCTGCATCGGACTGTAGAGGAGCTGAGCAGCTCCTTTAGTAAAAGACTCAGACACCCTGTGTGCAAAAAAGAGCGATACCGCAGGTCTTTTATTCCTGCTGCTACCAGAGTGTACAACTCTGCACTTTAACAACTGCTGTGCAATTGTGTTATATTTATTGACCTGTATAATATGTGTACTGTGTGTGAGCCCTCAATGATTGTATATATTTTAATCACCCAAATCTCTACGCTGTGTTTCTTTCTTTGTATATTTGCTTGCTTTTGATGTACTTTATGCACCTTTTCCTCCTTTTGTACCCTAACCGATATGTGACCAGTGAATTTCTCCAATGTGAGATCAATAAAGCTCTTATCTTATCTTATCTTATCTTATATATATATATATATATATATATATAAGCTATATAACGTTCCACTGCTCACACCAAAAATGACTTAATGTGAACTAAAGCTTGGTTTACCAAGAGGTTTGTGATACAAATCTAATTCCAAAAGGTTGGGATGCAGGGTGAAATTTATTAGAAAAAAAGGAGTTAAACTTTAGCTCATAATTTATGTGGGAACTGCTCTCTTCATTACCAACTTCCCCACAACTTCCCCTTCGAAACAGAAATAATCAGATAAGGATTTTCTGACAAGTCACTTTGTTAAGTTACAAGTCACTTGACAAAGTGGGCAAGTAAAGAACCTGTTTTTTTTTTAGTCTTTCTAAATCTGCCAAAGGTTGTAAAGCTGCAAGGAGTTGCCACTTTTTAAATCCATATGGCTAAGAATTGACATCTCATGGGCATTTGGTACAAACAAGGTTAACTCAGTTTACAGGCAAACTCTTAGATCCACCTCTTTGATTATTGAGAAATGGACAAAAAAAAGGGATTTCTCAGCAAACTCACTGCAATTTCTCACAAATGTGAGAAATTTAGTTTACATATTGCTTTATATGTAACTCTCTCAGGTCAGATGTATATCTTTGTGCATCCTTCTGTTTTCAGAACTGCATTTAGTTCACTAAGCACCCTTGTGTTTCTTATTAATTAAATAACTTCATATTATGCACCGTTTGTACCTTATATTTGTACCTTTTCTGTTTTTTGATTTTCTAGATCTGCTTCTATTGACTTAGGAACACACACAAGCAATGTGCCTGTTTTTAATGTGCACACACAACAATGAAGTCTATTCCTATTCTAATCATTGCTGTGCGGCTCTTGCCATTGGTGTCCAACATAAAGAAAACCTGTTTCATTATATTTTGCCATTTTGACGGAAAATAGGAATCGTCTCACACTATCACAAGGTTGTGAAAGTATGGAGGTTCAATCAGTACTTGAGTAACTGCCAGACTGATCTCTCCTGTCACTCAGGACGCCAAAATGTGTAAAAGCACGAGACGCAGTCACACTATTAGCCAAAGGTAATCCATGTTTTACAGACCACAGCTTTAGTTCACTACAGTCAAAATACCGGTGTAGACTGGGTTAAAGGCTTTAAACGATGTTATAATGTTGTTTCAGATCTGCTCAGGGTTGTTGAATCAGCACAAGTTCCTCCTTTAAACTCTGTCTCTTCTTCATTTCAGTTGTTACAAGAGAGCAGGACATACCATGACATTCTCCAGAGTAACTTCCTGGACAGCTACCACAATCTGACCATTAAAACGATGGTTATGTTCGAGTGGCTCAGCGATCACTGCCCCTTCACCTCCTATGCCATGAAGGTCGACTCAGACATATTCCTCAACGTGCGAAACCTGGTCGATATGCTTTTGAAAGCCCCCCGCCATCTCTACATAACGGGCTCGGTGGCGAGGGATGCTGAGGTTTTGCGGAACAGTGACTCAAAGTGGTTTCTGCCAGTCACAGCCTTCCCCGAGTCAACATACCCGCCTTACGCCCTGGGACTGGGCTACGTGTTCTCGCTGGATCTACCAACGAGGATACTGAGGGCGTCCACCCACATCAGGGCCATTTACATTGAGGACGTGTACGTCGGCCTGTGCTTGAGACATTTGGGAGTTTTGCCCACGGATCCTCCTCAAGAGGGTTTGTTCATGACCACGGTGCCTTTTCTAACAAACTTCTGTTATTGGACATCTGTCATCACAACAATACTGGAGGACTCTGAGCAACTTTTGGATGTGTGGGACACATACCAGACTGAAGCACAAGGCAAATGTTAATCCGCTTTATCTGTACCGCCCAAACTGCTGCTGTGTAACACTGTTTTGAAAACCACTCTGTTTACCTCACATGTTAACAGATAAGTATCTCTATTGTACGCTAATGACATTTGACACTGGAACAGGGGCTAGCCAGACAGATGTGCATTGATGTGTATGTATAGATTGCACAAAATTTAAATGTATACTTTCTAGGCTCATGGTAGTTTCCGCTGCCTCTATTTCTGGTTCCATGATTCACAGGAAACAATTGTCTCTTTTCAACAACAACCTACTCAGCTCTACGGAACTTAACACGACTCAGTCTTTTCCATTTCAACTGAGTACCACAATAACTCTTCTTGTCTTAAAAAAGTTACCAATGACAAAACTAGAAACGTTTCTCTGTGTTATTGGAGACTACACATGAAAGAACAATTATTCTGTGTCCACGTTGCAAATGTCCCGTCCTGGATTACAAAACGAGATGTAAATATCTGTTTTGGTTTTTTTAATGATTGTTTTCACATTATTTATTTTCAAAATTTTATACATTTCATGTTTCATGTTGTGCTGTTTCAGGGAAAGTATTAAAGTTCTGAAATTATTTGATGATTGCATCTAGTGACTTTAATGACTGCTACTTTTGGTACAGAGGAATTGGCAACAGTGGAGCTAGCTCACTTTGAACAGTGGCCTAGGAAGTGTTATAAATAACTGGTACTAGGAGTTACAATCTAATAGAAAACCTGTTTTAAGTAGCACCAAGTAATGCAAAAGGGTCAGTTGTCTGCATTATGTCCCACGGGAACTGTCAGTTGCAGACTGCAGTACCACCAAATAAGGTAGTTGTGAGCAAAATATCAGTATAACCACATATGATGTGCAATAAATTGAGTCACACTCACACAACTGAAACACTTCTCTTTGGGCTGGGAAACCACAACATATGTACGAATATGTATATATGTCTATGTGGGAAACAAATAAGGGGGAACAGCACCTTCCTGTGGTCTGGAGGTAAAATAGACAACATAAACACAGTTCGGATGAAACATTGTACTTGCTTTATATAATTTACTATCATTGAAAATATCAGCAGTTGCAAGTCAACCTAACTATATGTAAACAAAGCATTATAAATTTATTATGACAAAAAAATGGAAATCTTGAAATTCGTCTTCCAGAAAAACGGCTTTGTGTCTCTTGAATTGCACCTTGTCACACTGACAAAAACATGGAGTAATATCAAGCAATACAAGAACAGCCTGCTGTTGTAAAAGATTTCTCTGCATGGTCACATCAAATTATGTTAGACTGCACAATGAAGCACGGGGGTGGTAGCATCATGCTGTGGCGATGTTTGTCATCAGAGAAACTGGTCAAAACTGAAAGTGGTCCACAAAAAAGGATAAATCTGTAAAGTACGTTTCTGAATGATCTTTTGTTACTTCTCAAATGGTATATTTGCCACGTCCACGTGGTCCTCTGCCTAGTCGGCAATTCTACCCACAAGATTCACAAGAGGATGTTCTGCAATGAGAGTCCCTTTGGTTTACGTACCGGAAATAAAATGCAAGATTGTAAGAGAGGACTGACAAATGCAACAAAAACAGTCAGCATGCCAGGGATGAATACATTAATCTACCACCAGATACTCATAGCAAACTTCATGTACTTGGACCACTTGTATGTGAACTTCTGGATCGTTCTCCTCGGTAGATGTGTGGCTAAGTGTTTAACTGGATATTTTTTGTGTAGTAATGAGAAATACTCTGATAGTGTGTAATTTCACATGAAGTTGGAAATATTTGAAAGTCAAAGGGAAAACACTTTGAAATGCAAAACCAGGCAAAACAGGCAAAACAGGCAAACCAGCCAATCATTTACCATGTGCAAGTCTAACTCAAATTAATGTTCATACATTATTCGATGGAAATCATTTCAACTATGTCGTGTTGGATTATCTTGTCAAAAGCACCACTTGTAACAATATGTTTTTACAGTTTTTTTTTACTTAGATTGTTTGAGAATTGTGTTCATAAAGTCCTAAATGGTTTGCAACTAGAAATTTGTTCCGGAAATTTCTGCAATAAATCAATGTCGCCATCATGTTTTGCGTACAATAGCTAGCCATGGCTAACAGATTCCACCAGTTATTACTGAGTCAAATTAGGATGAGTTACCATTCCCACTTCCGTTGGTGGGAGATCTTTCACTGAGGCTGTGGGACGGCACCATAGTGCCATAATATCTCTCTACCTCTGGGTGGTGCCGTCACACTGATTTGTTTATCGTTACAGGCGCCAGCAGCTGGTTGGACTGGACACCAATGGCATCATCTTTAAATCAGCTCTTGGCTATGCCAGTTAGTCCTCCACCCCTTTTCCTTCTCCTAACCAGACCACATAATACCAAAGGACGCCATAGTGGGAACAATGCATAGTTTCAACATCAAGTATTGTCATTTATATATAAACTTAACAGAAAAGATCTGAGGTTGAGAAGCCCCGTCTTTCAATGTTCAGCATACTTTTGTGTATTGTGGTAAGATTGGTAAGATCTTATGAATGATTCTGTGTCAGACTTTAGGAAAGTCACCTGTGGGAGTTAGTGAAGGGTGCCCAGACATTTCCTCATTGTTTTCAATATATTTTTGAAGGGACACATTTTTCAAGATGGTGATTTTGTATGCAGGAGAAAATGAGCTGCGCTTCCTAAAAAGTTACAGTGCTATGAACTGAGAATATGAAATTTATTTTTCAGTTTTTAAAGTAGATTTTGACACAACATTTTTTTTGGGTCTGTGATTGAACATGAAACAATAGTTAAGAAATCTAATCAAAATTTTCTGAGCCAAAAACTAGGCTGTGTACATTTAGGGAAAATGTACTCCCCACTTGTATTACATAGATTTCTCATACACTTTCCAAGCAAATCAAATTTATCTTTATAGCTTTTATAAATAAGTAAAAAAGATCTGTCCACAATCCCAAATGATTTATTCGATTAATTGTGAAAAAAAAAATCAAATTGTGATCAGCCTGTATTTCAGATAGCATCAACTCTGCATTAACCCCCCCCCCAAAAAAAAATTAAGTAAGAAAGTCTGTTTGTAGAAAGAGCCTTTACTGAGCTCCCTAGTAATAATGACTGCATTCTGTTTCTGCTTGAAGCCTCAAAAAATCTTTTTTGTATTTTTCGTAATTGTGTTGTGTGCTATGCCTGTAAACGTAAGACTATTTAACTCATCAAATGTGTATTTTTATAAGCAAAATCAACCGTGGAAATTAATCATCATGTGCTGTTTTGTCTCTCTTTGAGAGCCAACTCAAATCCCAGCGACAGATTGGCAACGATTGAGTTTCTTGCTTATTGATGTGTCCAGATAAGATACTGCATTAGACTAAACGGGTTTAGAAAACACATAGATGGTTTTCTCTCTGCCTACAGTACTTTATGCATTTTCCAGATAAAATCACAACTTGTTAGCCAGTTAGCTGGAAATAAGGATTTGACAGGACAAATGCTATGTTACAAGTAGCCCGTCACAAAGACAGATGAAGAGGTCTATTCTATGATAATTAGAAATGTATTGAATTGACATTGGTGTCATTTGGTACGATTCATGTCAAACTGTATTTATTTAAATAAAGTTTTCATTGCTCAAACTAGCATCCTCATGTGTTGAGTTGAACTGATTGAAATTCTTAACCCAGAAGAACCCAGACCCATTTTTTCTAATGGGTTAAGAACACAGGTCAGTTTTTTGGGGAGAAAACTGACCAAATGGGCCTCACAGATCACATAAAACAACAACAACAACGAGTACCACCAGCAAATTCCAAAATCTGTAATTTTCCAGAAGTTACCTGGGGCAATTTTTTATAGATTGATTTTAGTTTAACTTGTTTGTTCTTATGGGCTAATTCTGTGAGTAATAAGTGCAGCAATTTGTTTGGGTGTTTTTTTCTAATCGCTGAATGTTATTTTTTCATGTGAACACAAGGCATAAGTTAGAAAAGAATTGTGTGAAGCTTTTAGTAAAAAATGGTCTGAAGCGCCAGCTAAATTAAAAAAAGACTTTCTTCTTTGTCACAGGAACTGACAGAAATATCATGCGCACCATCTCGTCACTGTGGTAGACATGTGTGTATGTGAATGTGTGCAAGTTCCCTCAGGAAATGGTTAAGATAAGTGGAATGTCAACTTCCTCTTGACACAAAATACCTCATATATTGACTTTTGCAAACACACAACAAGAACACACACACATACACGGAAAGGCAGAAATAATACAGATGGGGATAATCCGTCAAATAACCTTTATTACTCTGGAATTTTCTTATTCAGTTGTCACAGAAGGTTGTCTTGTTCAGGTTACATCCAAATTAACAAATATCTGTGTTTGTGCATGTGAGTGTGTATATGTGCTTGTAGGCAGCTGACCCTGGTGTGAACAGGGCTACTGTGTGGGGCCACAGAGAGACTATTCTTCACTGCGCCTTAACACACACAAACTACACTCTCACAGCCATCCACTCTCTCTCCCCCCTCTTCCTTGTTAATTTCTCACATACACAAACACACACAAACGCATACAGAGGGTGCAAGAGAGTCACTTACCATCTCTCATTCTCCTACAGAGAACTCTGGCATAGCCCTGCTTTCTGTTGGTCACAAACAAACACATATACACACTCAGTGACAATGTCCCACCACATAATGATCCTTATTTCAGCTTCCTGACTGTGAGTCACTTGTTCAATCAGGAGACTAAAATGTCCAACTCCTTCATTTCAACTCATTTTCTTCTTAAAAACATCATTACTTGTGTGAAATTGCAAGATGTTGACAATTAGTGGGGAATATGTAGTATAAAACAATACCAAATTTAGTTAGAGTTACTTAAAAATGCAAGATCAATCTATGGTTTAACTAAAACAATTGTAATTCTCACCTAAGAACAGCATAGAGTTGAATTAGCTAGCTTATATTCCAAACAGACATGCCAAAATGATCAGGTTAGCATGGTTTTTAAAAAATAAGCTGGTACATTTTCTTTCAAATGTTTTTATTCTATTCAAAATAAATGTCTATGATAATGTAATGAATTTGCAGTTGTCCATTATTAAGCTTACTGTACTTAGCTAAAAAAGTAATTAGCTTGAATTGCTAAATTTAGAAATAGCTTTGTTGGCTAAAGAATTTTATTATCCCTTTGCCTGCTTAATGGACTTTTAACTCCATGAAGCCTGGAAAGAACTGTATGTACTGGAAATGGGTCGGTTTAATCTTGTAGCAACGCAAAATGTGTTGGTGTTGGTGAAAAATGAATGTGTTCATTACAGGATTTGTAATGGCTAACATAGATTCTTTCTGTGGAAACATTAATTCCCTTATTTATAGAAAACTATTAAAGAAAAAAACCAAAGGGACATTTTCACGGTAGATATTTCAAACAAGAGTCTGTGTTTGATCAATCACAAGAAATATCAGTCAATCAGTGATGTACGTTTCAAAGGATACACAAAATAATGAAAAAGACAAGTCTGCCCCAAATTTGTGTATGGTTAGGATGTGGTAATGGTTGTCATATGGTTAGGTTTTGGAAAATCTGGTTGGTTTTGTAGCAGAGGATAATACATTTGAAATTCCATGGAGAGTGACTTCAGTTCTCTCCTGAGACATTAAAACAAAGCCTTTTTGCAGAGGTAGTTTTAAGTACCTTCAGCACGCTGTATTGGAAAACAAATTCAAGTACATTTATATATATGTGTGTGTGAGTCTGTGTGTGTATTTGTGTGTTTCTTCAAAAAAAGAAAAAGTCTTGGAAGCAAAACATATGTACTAGTTTCATAAAATAAAGTGGCGCCATTGTAACAGGAAGCACTGTGTTTTCAACTTCAAACTAAAGCTTACGCCTGAAAGAAACAAGTGAATTGTAGGAACATAGGCCACGATAAATATTCTGAGAACGTTTTGTTTTGCTGTTACTTTTAATTTCACACAATTTATAATTTATCTTGCAATTCATCGTTATGAGCCTTTGAACAGAGCAAAGCTAACAAAGAATTCCACTCGAAAAAAACAAAACATAAACGAAGCATGTAGTCTGAAAGGCTTAACCGGAAACGGTTCCTTTCTCACCGCGCGCCTTGATGAAGTTAACTAAAACTTCAGAATGGACCTCAGGAGAGAAAAATCCGTTACTTTGCACCATTAGAGGAGAAAGTCCGACCGTCCATGTCTTATGTACAAATATCTACCTGCTCGCCAAATCACTGACAGCAATGTCGAGAGAAAACACCACTCGAAGTCTTGACAGTATAGATCTCGCTGCTCTTAGAGTAAGTAAAGAAAACGTCTTCCTTTTCCAATGAAATGTTTGAGTAAACACTGGAGGATTCAGTGGGTGTTGCTTGAAACTCAACCCTAGTTTTAAAGCGACAACTTTTACTGAACGGTCCACTTATCTCTACTTTTGTTGCCCGTCTAACGCCGCCCCGAGTTTTTTAAACTTAGCGTGCTAATTAACTCTGCGTGTTATTCGCATTTTTATCCCGGAACGCTCATTTATTGTGTCAGCTCTGCGTCCAGTTCGGTGCCAGTTTACAAGATACAGTGTTTACACAGGACTTTCCTTTGTTTGGCATGTTGAAACGTTGACATTCAACAAGTGGCCCGCATCGGGAAGTGTACAATAAGTGCATTTATTATTGATATAGGGTGAAATAAATAGAAATTGAGAAGAAGAAAGTGGCGTATTTGTGTTTTGCGGTTTTTCCTGTTAACGTGTTACTTAAGTCTGTTTGTTTTTTTGTTTGTTTTTAAAGCGTATGCATATCCTTGATGTGATTGCATATTATACGTGATTTATCATTTTCCCTTAGGCTTTCAATGTGATAAAGTAAAAAAAAATGGAAGGAGATTTACAATAATGGTATTTCTCTCTATAGTTTCTCAGATTTCTCTCATGGCCTCAGTCACCCTCTCAGGACAACTCCACATTGTTGTCCCCTCACTTCTGGGCACATGATGCCGTTTTGTTAAAAGTTTTTAGCTTGGCATGAGTTTGTTGTATTGTGACTTTACTGCAATGTAGCATTTCCTGTTCTGCACCAGTAAACTCAGCTGTTTGCTCGGCTGTGAGAACAAACTGACCAACCTCTTCTCATAACTCCCTGCATCCTTTTCTTCATTTTTTTGTTTTGTTTCCAGGATCCAGCAGGGATCTTTGAGCTGGTTGAAGTGGTTGGCAATGGGACCTACGGTCAGGTGTACAAGGTGAGCATTTCTCCCCCCCCTTCTGGTTACTTTATGCATGCATGCACACAACACAAATGCTGACGCGTTGATGATTAGAAACGCTTTGCATTTAGTAAGATCTCAAAACCCTTCCCAGCTTTTGTTTCCAAAGCTGCAGACGGTGTCGTTCTGTGGACTCGGGGACGCACGCAGACACACTGAGAACCGCCGTATCTGACACGTCATTTCTTGTAAAGCTTATTATTGCTACTTCCAGTTTGCTGGAAGTTAAAAGAAGCTATTTCTGTTGACTGAAATATCCTGTAGCTGTTACGATCACACACACACACACACACAAGCATCTTCAGCATCTTTAAAGGCCATGGGTGGGGCCCACTTCCTTATCGCAACATCTGTTTGACTATTCGTGAGTTTGTGGGGTTTGTGGTCATATGACGTGTGTGTGTCTGTGTGTGTGTGGGCTTATTATTTCCTTTTTATTTATTTGTGTTTACAGCTGGTCCTGCCCTGTGTGCAAACTGGCATTGCTACCACAAAATGTGTGCTACTCTGCTTGACAACGTCCCGTTTCAGTCCCTCAGATTGTGAAGCGCAGGGCTTTTTTGAGGGGTCAGTTTTTGTCGGTGGTGCCAGGTACCTGATAGGTGGAGGAAAATACAGAGATTCCTCCTCTGAGATGGGCTGTTGTGTGCGAGAATGTGTGTCAGACGGTGGGCGTTTGTGGCTCAATTGTCACTAGATTTCCTGAAAGAGGAAATGTTGCAAAAGGTGTGCAGGGCAGTAGGCCCAGTGCTGGTCTTTGCTCAGTTTTACAAAAAACGCAAACTATGACTCAAATTCCATTATGCCTCAACAAGGGAAAAAAACAGCAGACACAGCTGAATGATGAGCATTGCATTGCATGAACGATTGCATTTCGGGAGAGAGTGTGCTAACCTGAGAGGTTTTTAGGGGTTTTTTTTGCATGTGAATTCTCATCCCTGTCTCCTACCATTCTGTCCAGATGCGATCTGAAGTCACTTTAGATGAGTTTTTTATTGTCAACAGATAATAGGAGCAGGTTTTGTTTCCCTCTCTAAAACATCAGTTGTTGTTTCTTTTATCACGATTTCGGCCTGTTCACTGCATTTGACATGCTTTTGATTATGCTAGTGGGTCACTCGCAGTCTTTATGGTCTTTATTTTCGTTTTTTAGGGGCTGCTAAAAGAACAATACATCCAATAGTGTCACAGTAGAAGATGGTTGGATAAACTTTTGGAACAGGGGTCCGGTCCAAATCCAGCCCCCGAGGGGCAGCTGTCCTGCAGGTTTTAGATGTTTCCCCTCTTCAACACACTTGGTTCAGATTAAACAGATCTCTACCAAACATCTTTAGGTTCTGCACAAGTCTGCCAATAGTGCAATGAACTGAATCAGGCCCCTGGAGGACCGGATTTGGAGATCCCTGCTCTAGAAGAAACATACACATGGTTTTTCATACTTTTTACAAGTGTCTTTGTGCACACGAGCGATTCCCATCACATCAAACCAGGACGGGAAAGAAGCCTGTAGAACAATAACTGATTGATGAAAAGTCCTGTGCAAAAACAGATGGGATGGGAGCCCAGGAGATGCTGACAGAGCTCCTGAGCTTTTCCTTTGTTTATGTCCGTGTGGGGTAACACAGGACATTTTGGATGTGCAGCAGTGGAAGGCAAACAGGAAATCCAGCAACAGAAACCATTTGCGTTCGATGGATACTTGTTACGTCACAACTTAAGCCGTTGCTGCTCTGAACTACAATGCTGTTTTCCAATGAAGATTGGGAAATCTGTAAAATTTAGATAAAAGCAAACGACTGTGATTTGCAATCACTGGCAACCAAATGTTAAAATCCCTTCCAAAACGTCCAGGACAGACTGAGCCTTATTAACCATTGTGGTCACCTTCCTTAGTAACAGCACTCATAAACCAAATAGGCAACAAATGACACTCATTAGTAAAGTACGTTGAATTAATTTTCTTCAGTCACTTAACAGGTGTTTCCATGGTTGCGTTTTAATGGGAGGCAGATCTGGACTGTAATATGGTCTGGTCCCTGAATTTTGTTACTGAGGAGGTTTCTCTGCTATTAGGTGTGTTGAAGCAGATAATCTCCAGAATCTCGTTTCTTTTGCCAATATTACAGATCCTTATTGGCAAAACTTGCAGTTACTTTGAGTTGTACATTGAACGACGTGCTTAAACTGTCTGACTTTTTACTGATACGTTGGTTTTACTGAGACGTTTGGGGGTGCTTCTGTAAAACTCAATCACGACATTCACCTGTTTGCATTCAGGCTGTCCGCATGTCAGATGCTCCAAAAAGGTGCTTAAAATACAAGAAAGAAGTCAATAAATAAATAAATAAATAAATAAAACCCGGTAAAATTTGATTAACTTGAACATTAAGTTTAAAAGAGAGGCGCAGATCTAAGATGGAATATTAGGACCACATTTGAAAAATAAATCTTTTGGCATTTATTACGTGATTAAAGTCAATATTAAATGTGGAGAGATTTAATTACTAGTTTAAAGTCGTTATTAAATATGGTGAGAATAAAAAACTCCACCGATGACCCTGCAGTTGACCACTTCCAGCCATTTCCCCCTCCACAAAAGCAGCGATTTCCTCCAAGTCTCCAAGTATCAGGACTTTTTAACATCCTCATACTTCTGACAATCTGATACTGATGTTCAAAACTATTAAATATCTCCTTGTTTGTGAAACCTATTCTGCATATCCACGAATTCCATGCTCCACGGCCTTTTAAAATGCGATCAGTGCACTTAACGTTCTAACTCAAGGGTGAACCAGTGGTGCACAAACAGAAAAGATAACTGTATTGGGTTACATATTTTCTTACAATCTTTTAGGCCTCAGGACAAAAATTTGTGAAACCATTGTATTTTTTCGCAACGGCTCAAAAGTTTCGAACAAGAGCGGCTAAAGAAATTATTTACACAATCTTATGCTTTGACCTGATCAAAAGCTGGTGAAAAAAGAGCCAAAGGCAAGACAGAAATGGGTGTGTTTAAGTGGCGGGTTACGGTTAAGTAAGGTCAGGCAAACAAATCTGATTTGACAAGCTTCAGGTTGAATTAAATATAAAGCGCATAAATTATTAAGCCATTATGTGAGTACCGCAGGTAAGCAGGAAAGCAGGAAAGCAAATGGAGTTTAAAGACCTGAATAGAACTCTGGTGACATCTCACCAAAGCTGACCCTCATGCACATTTAATTTTCACGGCTAATAATGTCAAAAGAGTTCAAGGAGGGGGGTGAAAACAATATTTACGTTTATTAGTTAACTTTATTTTAATTGGTAGTCCAATTCCAATTTGCCGTGGTTATGCAGCCACTTGCAGCCCACTTCCTAAAATGTTGAGGCGCCATCTGAAATCTTAAAGTTATTTACTATTTTGACACAATAGTTTATTTTTAGTAAAACATAGAAAACATATCAAATGTTGGGAGCTGAAAATATTACATCATCTTGACATTGTTGGCAGGAATATGCATCTAAAAAAGTCAGGCCGGGGCCACGCTTCCGGCGATGTGGCATCCCCTCTCCTTTTTACAGCATTCTGTAAACATCTGTTAGCCGAGGAGGCCGGTTACTGGACCTCTGAGAGCTGAATGTCGTCCCACTCTTGCTTGATGGCTGAAAATTCAAGGCCTTGTCTGAAAAGTACATCATCTGGACGGGGGCACATGTTGCACTCAAAGCTTCAAACACCTCGCAGAGTTGATGGTGACTTTCCAGATGGGCAAGCTGCCAATTCCTTAGAAACTCAGTCACCCCGGTGTCATCATAGCGGAACCATGTCGAGAGAAATGTGATTATGACATTGGTCAATTATTTGCAGACTCTTCTTTCCGTTGCAGATTTCTAAACATCGGCTCATGATTCTCTGAGACTTTGCCTCTCTAAGGTGCTCTTTTTCTATCCAGTCATGCTCCTAACCTGTTGCCAATGAACTTCATTAGTTTCAGAATGTTCCTTGTTGCCAAATTCTAAACGAACCGATGTTTCCCATGAACCAGTTAAACGTCTCCCTTTCTGCGATTTGTCCTTTGCGTTGTGTTGTGTGTGAAATATTGGTTTGCATTCCTGTTTTTATGGAGTTGCAGTTCTCACATTAAGCAAAGCTCCAGCCCCTACGTCTGACATCAGGAGCGCATGGCAGTGGGTCCTCCGACTGACTGTGATTCATGTCGCACACCATGTGGGAACATGTACTCATTTCTGATCCACTAATTGGTCATTAGCAGTCAGATATGATGTTAATCAGACACTGGGAGCAGACAAAGACCGGAGGAAAGCAAACCTCCATTAGTCTTATTTCGATGTACTCCAGTACGACCCCCTTTGGTAGACAGAAAGGACTTCCCAACACAAAGGACCTTGTTAACAGACTATAACATCCAAACCTCTCTATCCAGAGAGGTCAGGAATTAGTCAGGGGCTCAAGGAATCTTCGTTACACGCGTTGCTTTTGTATCACGTTTAAGGAAACGTTGGAGATGCTGTAAAATGAGCGATAGCAGATAACAAAAAAACAAAAACCCACCACAACCTAATTTTTGGCTCAAATCCCGAAAACACCATTATGTGTCAGTCAAGAGACACCAGCTATTTCCAAAGATAGGAGAATCTCATAAGAGGCAGTTTTTTTAAAATACATATATTACAAAGAAACTTGTGTTTGAACAGTCAGTGACATTCAGCACTGCAGACTCCACCCGTGTAGCTTTTGGCATGCTGGAAGCAAGCGAATTACTAGAGGGAATATTTCAAAGACAAGAAGTGATAGTGAAGAAATCCTTTGACTCGCAAATGCTCCTGCCGACAAAAAAACCCACAAAAAAACGCTCAGTATTGCAAACACTTTAATGGCTGTGGTTCTTCTTTATTAAGCTACAGCTACTTCATTCATATTTCTGCTCAAAAATGCTCCATCCAGAACTCGGCCTTTGCAGTTCTGACCCGTTCACGTGGGGCCCACGACGTACGCGAGCACTAAAGGCTGCATTATTATCAGCGGCGATCACATGACTGTTGGACCTTCAGTTGTGTCGTGGCCTCGGGACATAGAGCTGTCCGATCCTGCCGAAAATAAAACACATAGTAACAAAGGAGTTTCACTGCAGCCGCAAAGCAAACCACGTTCTCACAACGCTGCATTCGGCCTTGTCAGAAAACCCGGCGTGCATCTCTCACTTAACACACAGAGGCGCACACACAGAGACACACACACACACACACACACAGGGCGTCTCCCTGTTTGCAAAAGGAACTTCCCTTCCCTGCAAGGCATTGCTGTAGAGTCATCTGTCTGCATGTTTGCGTGGTTCTGTGTGTTTGAGCTGTGAAAGACAAATTCTATCAAACATTTTGACCTGATGCAACACCACTCTTTCCATTCTGAGAGTGACAACTGGACCTGAGAGCCGTTCTCTAACCCCACGTGTGAGAAAAAAGATGGCACAATTTATCATGTCTCAATGACACCACTACGGCAAGTTTTGAAAGAGAGCAACAGAGAATTTGTCTCAGTTGCAAAACAAAAACTGTAGATAGAAACTTAAATGTTGGGTTTGTTTTCTGGATTTTACAGAATCTTTTGATTAAAGGTGCGAAATGTCCATTTCAATGTTCACTTCAGACCACTCAGCTTCTCTGTGACACCGTTTCGAAACGGTATAACAGCTGGCTTTAATGCCATTCCCAGAGTGAATCACTAACACTTCCTCAATTCTCTCTGGTTTCAATAGCATCACTTCCCTTTCTGTCATGCCCGTGTCATTGCTCTTATCTGCCTCGTGTTCGGACGCGCCGTCGGAGATGCAAAAGCACTGCTTTTACGCTATTACCAAAAGAGCTCAAAAAGGAACGGCCCGCTATCTTTCAAAATAGAAATCTTTTGTTTCGAGGCCGAGCAGCAGTGGGTGGAGACTCGAAAGTGACAGGGAGAGACGCGAAGCTGAAAAAGAGTGGGAGAGAGAGAGACAGAAGGGAAAAGGGGTGGGGGGGGTGAAGAGGAAAGTGAGAGGGGGCACAGGAAGGAAAGCAGAGGTGAAAGGCAGAGACAGAGAGGAGGAAGGAAGAGGGAGAGAGGGGCCGATGAAAACTAGCAAAAGTAACCCCCCCCCTCCTCCCCTTGTGCCCATAAGGGTTAGAGCTGTGGTTTGTCCTGATTACCCGGCGTGGTGGAGCGCTGTGAATATGAGGAAGTGCAACCGGTTGAACACACACAGACAGAACAAACTGCCCTCCTTCATGACATGTTAAAATGCCTCAACTTTAAAAAAGAAAAGGAAAAAAATACAGCTTTTTTAAAAAAAAGTCGATATGATAATGTCTGCTATGCTTATTTTTTCTTCTAAGTAGCCTTCTGCAGTTTGAGCCCCATGTTCTTTTTTTGTGTGTCTCCAGCATACTTTTAACCCTGTTCTGCTGACCCCCCTCTTCCATTTTTTTTTTTAGATTGATTTTGAACAGTGGCAGTGTGAGGCGTGAAATGTATGTAATTTGGACAAAAACTAACAAAAGGGCCTGGTGTGCGCAGCTATCCATCTCAGGGAATCTTCACACAGAGCAGAGCTACACAAACAATGCTAAATGTGAGCACTGTGTAAGAAAGTCGACCGAGCAAACAAACAAAAGCCTGTAAAGATGTCATAAAGTGGGACATGACTCCCATCAAGCTAAGCCTAACTGCAAAGACTGCAGACAGATTTATCAGGTAGATAATACACAACAATAGATAATGAATCTATTCATGCGTGGAAGTGGTTGTTTTGGCTTTCCCTTTTCTTCCTACTCTTTCTTTTCCTTGCCTCCCGTTCTATCTAGTCTTGCCCTCCAGCCTCAACCCACTTTGGACAGGCCAAGCCTCACTGGTGTCCACTGCATGGGTCTTTTTTTCCACAGCTGCAGGGTTTTGCGAAAACTCCCTCGGCTCAACCACAAGCCTCACACAGCTAGACTTCATTATCAGACATTATCAGAGGGCTGGATGCTCCCACCATCTTTTTGTCGGGGTGCCCACGAAAGGCCAGCTAACGGGTCTCAGAATCCCATAGCAGTGGTAGCTGTTTCCCCCTTCTGGCATTCGGCTATACAAATAATACAGTTTGCTTGCTTTGCCATTGTTGTTGCCTCTCAAACTTGTCATTTCAGAGAAACGCCGGCCACACTCAGTTCGACTTAAAATGCAGAATAAAATCTGCTCTCGTGGAAGGGAGGGTTTGCCTAGTGTAAGAAACCGGCAGAAAGGAATCGTCCAGCAGCACCGCCCGATAAACGCCCGTAACATTATTAGAGAGTTATTCCAAATATCGGAAAGCAATGCAGCTGTCGCCAGCTGTTGAACGCTCCGTGTCCCCAAGAGACCCCCCCCCAGTCTTTAAAGCACCTTGATCTACTTCATAAGGAAAGAGCCCTACCCTCCAAAGGCCTAAAAGATTTTTTTGTGGCAGATTTCAGGCATAAAGTGCCCACACAGCGGACAAATGACAGACCGATCTGTGGAGGACTGATGAAAAGAGACAGATGAGACGGAGACAGACGGATTTCCACAGCGGGAGGGCTGAGTCAGACATTAGAGACACAGTCAGAGCTTGCATTGGAAATCTCTCGGTCCCTACTTGGCGCTGGGAGTGCGTCACAGTAACTTTTTCGCGGACCAAGCCTCTTTCGCGCTTCCCTGCAACGAGGCAATCGTATCTAAATCCTGTCACGCACGCAGTGTGGATATGGAACTCGCCGAGCTTCCGTGTCAGAAACAATGCAGCTTTTCCCCTACTATCCAGATAAAGAGCAGCGAGTTGCTCGACTGTGTGCCTGTTCATAACGGTAATAAGTGGCATGGCTGCGAGTAGAACTTTTCACGTCGGAGGCAGCATGCAGACACCGTTTAGTCTGACTGGACAGGAAGGACACTTCCTTTATTTATCACAGTCCGGCCAGCGGCCGCTTTTCCACCGTCAGTGAGACGGCGTCCTCGGCTCGGAGTGGGGACAGAACCAAGGGCACGACGAAGGGGCGGTTTTAACCCTTAAGAACCCATTTGTGTGATAAATGGGTTCGTTTGGTCAGTTTTCCATTCCCTATGATGTTATATTTAGGGGAAAATGGATCTGGGCTCTTACGGGTTAAATTTAGATGAAGGTTTCGCTGAATGCCAGTGGGATCTCTGCATTGTGTTTTTCATAACTGCTGAGTTAGCTACACTGCTCAATCAGCCTTTTCCTTACAACTTCTTCTGCATGCTTGTTTCTTCTGAGTGACGCGTATTATAATGAAGATATCGGTCTCTACACTTAAGGATCCATGGAGCTCTTATGTTCAACACTGTTTTTTTTTTTTTTTCCTAGTATCAGGGCATTTCAAGGAAAAGATTTCCAAGGTTTCCAAGCCTACTATGTTTGGTAAATGTACCATGGAATGAGTCTAATCCCAGCTGCTTATATATAGATATATATAGATAATATAATATAATATATAATATAATATATTATCTATCAGTATTAGATAGATACCAAAGTTTGCAGTATAGCAATTTGACGTTGACAGCATTTGATGAGTAAAATTAGTCTTGTGATTATTCATCCAGCCTAATTTGTGTTTGCCCATATTTCTGCGCTTTTTAGCTCATAATTCGCCTCTGTTTTTATTTATTAGTACAATTGATTATATGAAGAGTCAGTCTGTAGATCAGTGAGTTTGTGTTGGTTGGATTTTTCCTGAAACTACTAAAATTAAGTTCATTGGTTGAGTTCTGTAGTTCAATGAACTAAAAAAAACTTTTGAAACCATCCAGAGTTGCTTTCTGTATTACCACCTTTAATAAAAGCGATGAAAAAGGAGTGTATTGTTCTTTTTCAGAAGCGTCATTTAACATCTCACAATTCTAAACTCGACGGGAAAGTCACGGGCTTTCACTGTTGACCGCATCACGCCGATTTGTAAACCGCATCCAGCATTAACACTGATATGTGTCCACTGTTAATCCTCAATCGATCCAGATGACTTTTATCACAGGTATTAAATTGATTTGGACACAAAGACCCAGTACCCTGCCGTCCTCAGCGACCGGAAATAAGAGAGCTCCTTCTTCTCAATACAGAGTGTTTCTTAGGGCCAAGAAGAAAATGAAATCAAGTGTAAACATGTACAAGTACATATACAAGACAGTGTGCTATTTTGTAACCTATCTGTTCTTGTCAAACTCTTAGAGTCAGACTCTTATGTCTATGTCATGCCATCACTTAGAGTGGAATCATACGTTGCAGCTTAAAGGCGTATAGAACATCTACACCAGTCAGTTTTGTGAATGATGACGATTTTCTCCATTTTCTTCTTTTTCACCTGGCTGCTCTTTGCAGCTCCTATTCACCCTTTACAATTTCTTTCTGTCCCATTTCGTGTCATGTCCACAAAGAATGAGAATTACCTCCCATTTTTAACGCTCACTCCAAAGATCTTGTAACGTGTCTGAGAGATCATATTTTCTTTTAGTAATTCATTTGGTTTGATCCATCTGGCATCAGGTTTCTATGGCCGTCTTTAGCTGTCATAGGAATTAGCCGTTGGCTTTTCTGTGTTTTTCTGTTGGTGCTCATTTCATTGGATGGATAGTAACACAAGCCCTCTTTCTTGTTTGCCACCAGGGTCGCCATGTCAAGACTGGTCAACTGGCAGCCATCAAAGTCATGGAAGTCACGGAGGTAAAAGCGACCTGCTTTCATTTCTTTAATTACTTTCTACATATATACACTTTCACATCCCTCTTTATATTTAAATGTTCAATCTTTTACTCCTAGTTGGTTTAAACTATTTTCGTTATTCCTCATAATAAAAAAATGTGATAACTTTATTTACTTTTTTTACACAGTTTGCTTAGTTTCTACATCTTAGCTTAGTTTCTACATCTACAGTGCAAATAATTACTCAGCAATTTAGCAAAGCTAGAAAAATTCCACTACATAAAGAGCAAGGCCATCTCTCGGTATCGATAAATGATGTTACCAGATGAGAGAAAAAATGACTGTAGGAACCCCTTATTATGAATTCTAAAAATCAGTTTCATCCACAGATAGCATTTGTGGACATTTCTGTTATGTGCCTGTGAGCAGCTCACAAACTGTTTGGATGTCTCTTTGTCTTGATGCTCTCACTGAGTTTGTTTTCACTTCTTTGCACCTATGCAGAAACAGGAATTGAGGTTTTAGAGCAACAGTTGCACTTACGTAGGCGTGGCTATTTAAGAGGAGGATAGTGATGCTTCAGAGAGAGGAACTGTGGATTAAAAACAAAACAGCGATAATCCGGAACTGTCGCACATCTGAAGATGCGTTGCACGATTGGCCAGAATTTGGGCTTGTGTGCTCAGAAGCTAATATTTGTGCTGCGACCGCTAATCTGACTTTAACTGACATTTGTTTATGCTGTGAAGATATTATTTGACAGGGTTGGTATGCCTCTCTACCATACTGGAAGATCAACAAAAAAAAACAAATATGATCATATGTACCTTTAGACCAGTGATTCCTTAAGTGGGGGCGAGCGTGAGTTGGTTTCCAGAAATAAAATTTTAAAAACGACTGTCTACCATTTACTGAAACAAGGGCAAAGCATCTGACATCCGACCTAAAGGACCCACTGGTTGAACTGTCAAGTCACCGAACCTTGAAAACAGCGTTTAATTCTAGACTAGTTAGTTCACCTGAGGGTCTTTGTGTTGGTTTTATTATTTTGGGTGGATTCTTTCTTTCTCTGTTTATTACAATGTATATTTATATATCTAAACTTTTTATTTGCAATTGGGATGGGTCCAAATGACTTTAAAAACAAAATTTTAGCTTGCCACAATCAACAGTTCTATGAAAAAAAATCTCTGTACCCATATGAGGACACTGGGCCTTTCTTCCTGAAGGACACAATAAAGACACGATTGTTTGAAAATGTATAAAACCATTTTGTCTTAGATTTCAAACACCAGAGTGTGACAGTGTCTACGATGAGGCCAATATGTCAAACTTAAAAAACAAACAGAAGTATCAAGGTGGAGAAGCTAAAATGCAATTTTACCATATAAGGATGCAGGTTCTCAGGAGAAAACCCATGACAGTACACTTAAAAGGCCCAAAAATAACCAGAATAGGAAAGAAAGTATAATAATGAGACTCTGTCTGTCTGACAATCCCGTGGCAGAAACTGCTTTGCCATTTTCTGCCTTCTCACCCCGATTCACACATACACAGGGTCTACAGGCACAGGGAGAGCAGGAAGGTTTATGTTTCAAATGGAGGTGAAAGTAGTTTTCTCCCATGCTGTCCCGTTGAGATGTAGAAGCGGGCAGCAAGTGCAGAAAGTTGTCTGTTTTTCTTTCTCTCCAATAACCAAAGTTCATCCAGACGTAATACAACTGGCTCCCTGGAGTTCCAGTGTGTAGCTTTTCAGGCAAACTTAATTGTGCAGTTAGATCAGATGAGTAATTGAAATTACAAGATGGCCTATTTTATATTTCTTGATGGAAAAAAGAGAGCACAAGAGCCTCACACAACCTTTTCTTACCACCTTTTACCCTGACAAAAAAAAAGATGTTCTGTGGTCTGTGGCGCTTGATATGATCTACCTCTATGTTTACCTCGATAGCACATTTCATGCAGAAAGATAAGCAAAGAATACTGGCCTTCAGCCTAAAGAGAATCAGACAACCCTCCAATGGCAGATTTCTAACCCTTTTTTTCCAAAGAAATAAAGAAACTGAATTTATACCTTTCTCACTCTATTTGAAGATGAATATTTTGTCAAGCTGTTTAAAGAAACACACAAAATATCTGTAGATGCATATGATATAGTATGTTATGTTATGGTAAGATAAATTATAAATATATTATGAATTCTGGTATGATATGATGTGATTTGGAATGGTAACATATTACAGATATACTGTACATTCCATATTCTAATTTTGCTTTCATATTGCTGAACAGGACAAGGTAAATAAACAAACAACTAAACAACAACTACATTTTGCTGTACAGGAAACCCATAGGCCCCTACTAGAACTGGGTTTTGGATGAGCTTGATTTTACTCCTAGTTGGACAAATAAAGACTAAAGTGAGCTGTGCTTTGAGGTGTCAAAGATATAAATAACTGTAAGAACTTTATAGTGGTTAAATCGATCATTTCCTGAAGAGGAAGAAAAAATAAAAAAGCATTCTTGGTTAATCGTAGGCTCTAAATTGCCCATGGGTGTGAATGTCAGTGTATGTGGTGTATATGTCAATAAAATTAACTTAAGCCAACCTTTACACCTGACATCTTTCACTACTTTAACTTTACACTTTACTTTAAAACGACATCTACAGCACCAATGCTCCCAGTTGTGTTTGTATGTCATTTGATAATCCTCTTTTTTTGTGTTTTCATGTTCAGGAAGAAGAAGAGGAGATCAAACTGGAGATCAACATGTTGAAAAGTTACTCCCACCATAGAAACATAGCTACTTATTATGGAGCCTTTATCAAAAAAGGCCCTGCTGGGCAGGACCACCAACTCTGGGTTTGTAGACAAGTTCATCAGTTGAATTTGTTTAATTTTCAAACGATAACGCGGGCACGTTTAGTTATTTAGAGTTGGCAATTCCTGCATGTCTTAACAGACATCTGTTCGTTGATTCATCTAGCTAGTGATGGAGTACTGTGGAGCTGGATCTGTGACAGACCTGGTGAAAAAGACTAAGGGAAACTGTTTGAAAGAGGACTGGATAGCGTACATCTGCCGCGAGGTGCTCAGGGTAAGGACAACATTAAAAGAAAACACACACACACAAGCATGAAGGCTGCGCGTCCTCACACACACACACACACACACACCCCACAGCTGTATCTGCCTGCTGCGTGTTGGAAGAGCTTGTGATTCCAGACATAGTTTTTTACAGCTGCTAATTCCAAGTTAGCCATAAATACATGTGTTGGAGAATGGCCTTATGCACATCACTCTCGATTATTGCAGGAGTTTCAGTTTTGTACAAAGGATGACTCTAAACGCTGCCATCATTTCTGCGCTTGACACTCAAATCGGGGGGGTATTTATGATGTTTTCTTTCTCTAACTAACCCAAAAGCCACGATCAAAAATATGAAGCAGCGAGCTGAGTACGTGATTGATTTTATTTTGAGAAAATTTGGGTCCAGTTTTTCCACAATAAGGAAAGAAAAGGCAGTCAGTTTTCATTTTCACCCATTATTTTTAAAATTGATTTTTTTGTTACTGTCTTATTGTGCCAGACAAATAAGATGTTTTCATCTGCTACTATCACTTCGGCTGATGTTTACGTTGCATGCTGCGTTTTGGGTATTTTTATCCATATTTCAATGCATTAAATGCAAATGGTGCAAATTATTCAATCTTCTTTTGTGAGGATGGCTTTGCTGGAAAGCTCTCACAAATTCAGACTTTCTGTTGTTATCCTGAAATGAAACATTCTATTAAAGATAACTTGTTGCTCAGCTCTGTAGAGGAAAAAAAGGTTTAGACCGCTGGAACATGAGGTTTATTGACAGATTATATGATCAAATACTCTAAAAAACAGGGCATTTTTTTATGGACACCAATGATTTCCTTTCTCAGTACTGGTTAAACAAAAATCGAAATGTCCAACTAGGTTGGAATCCTGTAACAGGAAGACAGAAAAATGTCACATGATCAAAATTTGACTTTTTTCGCTCAGCTTGAATTCTATGGCAGCTTGACTTTTGGGAAAAGTTGGGACTGGGTCAGCAAAAATTGAAGATGTGATTGGTAAAAAAGAAAACCCCAGAAAAGTAGAGTGTCTAAAGAGGTTAGATGAAGAAATGTTCGGAAGGAGGGAGAGGAGGGTTGATCAACTGGCTCGTCCCTGCTGGATTTACGGAATGTACCAACCCCGTAGGAAAGAGGAATCTGAAATTTACTCACCACTCACCACTATCTCTGTCATCCCTGAAAACCATTTGAGGTGGGAACATCATAGGCTAAATTCAACCAGTGATACATGCCACGAAACAGGGCTGCCTTCAGCTTGTTTACACAAAGCCAGGCCTCGGTAAACTACCGCTGTTGTTCTCCACACATGATGCCGAAGCCGTGATACTTTGCACCAGCATCAAAGGCAGACTGACACCGAATCTTGTGAATGTTTTGGGGGATTTAATCCCTCTAATGTTTTCCCGCTGTGACTCTGCTGGAGCAATGGATTCATTTTTTCATTTATGTACTTAAAAGGCCAGTTTAAAGCAGACGTCTGTAAGATGTTATGGTTAACATTATGAGAGATCACGAGGTCCTGAGAAAGACCGGAGGGACATTTGCTTTGCTTTCTATGTTGGTCTTTGTGTTTGTGTATCATCCGAGTTCAAATATATAACCGGCCGATGATGTTACTATCAGGGAACAAAGCTGGAACTGAGCAGGTTTTTTTTTTTTCTTAGAGTAATAATCTTTAGGGACAAAAGGACTCTGGAATGTCGCCAGTGTTTTGTGAGCTGCTGTCAGCCATGCTGTCTCCCCATTGTTTCGACATCACAACACTCACACTCGCAGATACGCACAGACAGCGCGGTGAAGTCATTGTCTTAAAAAAAGACTCATTTCCTTTGTTTATTTAACCTCCTTTGAAGAAGCGAGAGTGCAAACGCGCACACGCACAGACACACGCGTGCACACACTGGAATCGTGTGGTAGAATGGCCACGGGGTCGTTCTGCCACTTAAAAGAAGAACGCTTCGAATTTGGAAAAGCAGTTCAAGAAGCCTGACAAAAAAATACCACACTGTAGCCAGCATTTAAGATGAAACGGCTCTTTGAAGACGCCGTTTGCGACTTCGCGCTCACAGCGGCGGCGGCGGTCATCTGACCGCGCAAGTGTGTGCCGGCGTGTGCTCATTGTGTGCCTGTGTGTGTCTTCCAGGGTCTTTCCCATCTTCACTCCCATCATGTGATTCACAGAGACATCAAGGGACAAAATGTTTTGCTCACAGAGAATGCCGAAGTCAAACTTGGTGAGAGAGCACTCGCTCGAGCAGGCGTGTGCACAGTCACCGCCAGCCACACAATCATGAAAGAGCCTCTTAAAGAGGCAAAACGTCTGGGCCCGTGTGTGACAGCTAGTGTGAAATTCTCATTCCAGTCGACTTCGGAGTGTCGGCTCAATTGGATAAAACCATCGGTCGCAGGAACACTTTCATCGGCACTCCTTATTGGATGGCTCCGGAAGTCATAGCCTGTGATGAGAACCCTGACGCCACATATGACTACAGGGTATGCTCATCCACAGCGCCAATGGAAAAATCTACACCTCAAGCATGATGAAAATATCTGATTGTTCTTGCTATTCATTGTTTTCCTTATCTAATTAATTTTTTTGCTTCACTGTGCCGTGCAAAAGTTTTAAGTCGCCCCTCACTTGGTAATATTTTTCTCCCCGGGAGTCTGTGGAGGACAGAAAACACAATTTAAAAAATAAATACAGAAATATATCAATGTTTCAGTACAAACGCAGCTTGCTAAAAATGTAATCCAATTAAATGATAACATACAACATCATTTTATACTTCTACTCTAATTTTCACTTCCATTAATAATTCACTGTTGCTTTAAAAAGGACATTTGTTTTCTGAACTGCATGATTTATAATTTAAGTGACCTATTTAGCCATTTCTATCTTGTTTTGTTTTTCAGGCCTGTATTTAGGCAAAATAAATGGGATTATAGCATATTGATTTATTTACTGAGATATTTCTATGTTTCCCTTCTTATTTTTGGTTTTGTCACTTTAAAGTACGTCCTCCACATTCCTCTGATCTCTTAAACTGCCATTGAGTAAAAGTGAGTGCAAGAAATTTTGAAGGCCCGTTTTATTTTTCCCTCTTTTTCAGTCTACTGTTTTTACTTGAATCATCAAATTCTATTAGAGGAATTTAGTTTTTTAATCTATTTTCATAAACGAGTAAAAAAACAAAACATCTTTCAAGCATGAAAAAGTGTTTTTACAACAACTGTAACGCTAAAAGAAATCCTACCAAATCACATTTTAATGGTACTTTTAGGCTCTTTGTTGCTAGCAGCATGTTGCATAGACCTGTATTTTATTCCCCTTTTTCTGTATCCATGAAAAATTCCAAAAGTAACACAGGTTGCTAGATTAAAAATAATAACTTTTGCCACAAAGTGATTCTTAACCTTTGACTCTTATGTCCTCATATGAGGACTTTTCCATTTTGTATCTCTCTACCATGATAGTTTTTTTTTTCAACATTGACCTTTTGGCATCATAGCAGAAACTATCAAAACCTAACGTTTAAAATCCTAAATTAAATTGTATTATGGTTTTGATGTTTTTAACCAATCATGCCTTTATTGTGTAATTGAATTTTTAAAATTTTCGTAAAAGATAAACCCTCTCTCCCTTCTCTAGAAGGAAAAACTTCCCGTACCACGACAGTCTGGTTATTAAACTTATTAGGTCCTACCAATCCCATAAATCTCAGAGAAAGCAAAAATACACACTAAAGAAAAATCTTTGTGCATGCCAAATACCACAAGAAGTTGACTTCAGCAAATCATTCCCTCCATTTCCCGTTCCCCTTGGAACATATTAAGAATTTGAAGCAGCTCAAGAATTCTGCGCGGCACTTTATAATTCAAATCTTTAAGTTTTCATTGATGATTTCTAAATGCAAGCTGAGAGAGTAATTGCCACCAAGCTGGCAAGCTGAGTTTAAAGAGCAAACTGTAGCTAACACTGTCCTCTCCTTCTCTCTTTAGAGCGACCTCTGGTCTTTAGGCATCACTGCCTTAGAGATGGCTGAAGGAGCTCCTCGTAAGTTATAAGTGCATCTCCACGTTGAATATACATGTGGCTGGAGTGTGTTATTTTTGTCTGAGTTGTGCTCACCGTGTGTTTGTTCCTTTTTCACTCGTCTTGCCACCATGTGTTTGTTCTCTTTGTCTCCTCCCTGTTCTTCACTGCGACCCTCAGCCCTCTGCGACATGCACCCAATGAGAGCCTTGTTTTTGATTCCTCGAAACCCTCCACCCAAGCTTAAATCAAAGAAATGGTAAGCCCAGCAAACACGCCGACACGCACGCACGGACGCTAAAACAGGATGTAGATGGAAATATTTAGGTTTTGAAGTTCTCTAGAAGGGAGAGCTTGTGAGTGGTCTTTGTTGTGGGTTTCATGTATCAGCAATCACGCAAAAAAAAGCATTCCAGTACTTTCCATTCACAAAGAAATTGAAGGCTCAAAGTCAAGGGCATGTCTAGACATGTTAAGATAAAAAAAAGAAAAAAACAAAGTCAGCTGCTGTCTGTTAAAAATAGACAGGAGATAAAGCTTTGTTATCTCTGTCATTTTTACCCTCAGCTGTGCATTGATTATTAGATTCTCCGCCACATTCACCCTTCTCTCACTTTCTTCTTTTTGATGCATAATAGATAAACCCTTCAAATTAAACTCTTGGTTGACCCTGGCTGCTGTCTGTCATTCAGTATTAATATCGTCCGAAAGACCTCCTTCCCAGGAAACTTTTAATAGCTCCGATGGTCAGGGGCCCCGGGGCCCCCCCAAAGGCTGCAGGCTTACAGGCTACCACTCGGCCATTCCCTGATTTTTTTAGACGAAATGTCTCAGAATATCTGGACTGACTTTCTTGGTAGATATCACCTTAAAACTGAACAGAAAACACAGTGGATTTTAGACAGGAGTTTTCTTGTTGCTGCTTTGCTGTGCGCAGTGGGTGAGTTTCAAGACCTTTTTCGGAAATTCAGGGCTGCCCCAAATAGAGGCCGTTAATAGTCAAAATGCAGAAGTTCTAATAGTTACTGGGTGTATGTAATTTTTTCTTAGTCCATACAACTTTGAGTGCATAGTGATATTTATGTTAATTTTGTTGTCATTTTCCATAGAGTTGACAAGTCTTTTTTTGAATGTTTTTTTTTGTTTTGTTTTTCATTTTTGCTATTAATGATGAGGTCAATTGTTTGCAAAGCCCTGTATAGCTAAAGAAAAGGAAAATACTGTGGGTCAAAAACAATCAGTACTTTTTCTGATTTATTGTAAAGAGTGGAGACAGTGAAAGATAAAGGTTGCCTTTTCTGTGTGTCTCACTAACTTTACATAGAGCAGCTATTACGTGTAGGGAGAAGAGGAAAAAACTGTGACAGGCTTCGAATGATGACCGTCAGGAGCATTTATCCATATTAATATTTGGAGTGGGTGAGCAGGATATCAGGATATCGTCACATCATAATGTGATTGTGTATTTGTTGTCAAGCTTCATATAAAGGCTCTTAAAATTTTGTCAGTAAGAGGTACATAATGTTAAAGTACTTTTTCATACCAAAACTGGACTTTTAAAATAAATGTAAACAGGTTAGTGTGACCGAAATTATAGACAGCTGGAGTAATACTTCTAGGTGGTGCAGTTGGGGATTCTTTTGTAAAAAGATTATTATAACAATATAGAAAAATTACCAATAGAGCTGCTCTCTTTGACATATGTCTATATTTTCATTTGTCAGATAAATACATCTAAACAGCTTATTTGAACATTAGCCCCTTTAGTACTAAGAATGAATTTGGTCAAGATGGTCTGCTCTAATAAAATCCAGATTTTGTTCATTTATTTATTTTTTCTGAAAACTGCAGCACCTTCAAACAAAATACATATCAGATAGTTTATGGATGCAAGTTTGAGCGAAATTAAGAAAAGGCAGAATTCATCACTTTTATGAAACTCTCTCTATTCAACCTCTGAGTTGCTTTTTGAGCTCAGCTGTCAGGAAACCTTCCTAATCTGTGAACTAACTGTACTCTGGCCGCTTCCACCTGACAAAAAAACACTGAAGAACATTTATGTCCTTTATAAATATCGTGGTATAGATTCTTAATCATACACGTCATGGTACTCCCAAAAATTCTCTAGCATACGTAACTGAACAACTTAGACCTTGACCGAATTCCTTACCGCTAACCTCCTTCACAAAGATATGGGACACACTTTTGAGAAAAGTAATGTATATATTCTGGGTAGAGAATATGATGGTTTGAGAGAGGAGTCAAAGAATTCATCTATGTTAAACAGGAAAAAACGATTTCTCACGTATCATCTTCACAGCTCTGACAATGTAGCATCGTCATTCCTTCCCGGGCAGTTTCATAGCCATTCACACCTTGGATCCTTGGGCCAAAGCTCAGCCTTTCAAGCACGTTCAGACTGTTATGACCCATGTAGTTTAGAACCGAAGAAGCCACTTTTGATGAGAGGTGAAACGTCTCAAAGTTAGGCTTTATTCGAGCTCTTAAGGAGACCCCCAAACTTCAAAACAGTGTGGGATTCATTCTGGCATTGATTTCCACTCTCTTTTTTTGTCTCTTTCTCCCTGTGCCCCCTTTTTTTTTTAGGTCCAAGCGGTTCTTATCATTTGTCGACAGCTGCCTGGTCAAAAACCACCTTCATCGACCCACCACCGACGCCCTGCTGAGGCACGCCTTCATCAGAGACCTGGCCAACGAGCGGCAGGTTCGCATCATGCTTAAAGACCACCTGGACAGAACTAGAAAAAAACGAGAGAAAGGTGAGGAGACGTGGATACTTCACACTTCGCCCTGATTTGTGTTGTTTTTTTTGTCCGGCCTTGTACTAAGTTGCACACAGCAGAAAACAACGATTGCTTTGCTTTATAACTGTGAGTCAGTAATGAGTCACATTCACTATCCAGCAGCTGAAGAATAGCCATCAACCTCACTGATGCACACTGTGCAGCGGCGTCGCTCAGACTCTCTAAAACTGTTTATTTCTCATCGTTTACAACATTGTGTCCATGGAAGTGCCTTATCTTCCTGCCAGTGTTGCCCACAATGTACACAACCTCTCATAAATGTATGACACGATTCATCTGTGAAAACTTTAGATCACCTCATGACGAGATCGCTAGGATTACCCTAGCGATCTCTTGAATGAGAGAACAAAGATTATAAACAAAAGGATGATTCAATCAGAACATGGGAAGGGGCAAGTCAGGAGGGACACTGTTTAAAACGTAAATAAAAGAATGCAATTGGAAAAATTCAACATAGGAAACACAATGACAGTAACTCAACTGGAATTTAATGGCACAAAAAGATCTTGACAGGTCAATGTTTCTCTCTGTGTATCATAACATTTTTTCTAACAGCAGTCTTCAAACATCTGGGAACTGGGGAGCTTATTCTTTATTTTGGGTTTGAAAATTGATATTATATGTGTAGTATATGCATGGCAAAAATAAAGAAAAAAGAAAACACATAAATAACACATCTCAGATCTTAAATACAGTATTCCAGTCAAAGTTCTTTATTAGTTTCATAGTGCAATGTGTTAAGAAAAAAAAAAACACAAGAATGATCAATGATAATCCAAATTCTTAATCCATGAAGGCCTGGGTTCAGAATCCATTGTAAGAGTGGAAAGATTAGAGGAGAGGATGACTTAACTTTTGTGGAAGTTCCTCATGATTCAAAGTGAGGTTCAATATTGTATGTCGCCTCCAAGTTCCCTGATGCAATGATGATAAGAATATGCTGTATTTGTCTGTTAAATTTGGGACAACAGGGGGTAAAATTGATTCACCATCAGTGTTACTTCCTGTCACCACATATTTGACTGACTTTGACTTATGGGTCAATGATTGTGTGTTTCAAGTTGAATTCTTTCGGACCTCAGAGCAATTGTCCACTTTTACCCTCCGTCCATTCAAAGTAAGCAGTTAGAGAAGACACTATATATCTGAACATTTCTTCACTTCTGAGAGACTCTTCTTCTCTAAGGTGCTCTTTTTCTACTCAAACATGGTAGCCATGACCAGTAAGCCTCCTTTTTTGCCTCCTGTCCATAATTATTTTTTTTATGAGGAGATTAAAGGTGAGCTCTTTAAAAAAAAAAAAAAATAAATAAAATGCCCCACGTCAATATTTCATATTGTTCCTTGTTCCATCTGGAATAGTATTTATTTGATAGACTGTATTTATTTCAGCTTCACTTTCAGAATTGGTGGCTGTAAATTTGCTGAGCTGAGAGAGAGGCACAAATATAGATGCAGCAAAGAGAAAGAGACAAAGAAACAAGACCAAGAAGGGAAGGAAGGAGGAAACAGAACAACCATCTGGTTGTAATCTTTTCTTAGCTTATAAAAACACACTAATGACTGGTAGACTCACTGAATGCTTTGTGTTGTGTTTATGTGCATGCATGCAATGTGTTTAGGGCTCGATTTACATCTGTGTGTGTCTGTGTGTGCTCCCCAGTGGCCCGTACAAAATGAAATGCCTGAAGTATTAGTGAATGTGGGAAAAAGTCAGTGCTCCAGAAAAAAAGAAAAAAAAAAAGAAAAATGCTACGGATATGATGCAAAAAGGATGTGTCATGTTTGTCGTACCCGAGGGTGTAGTTTGCACAGGGATTGTCTATATTTTGAAAGATGCATCACTCCGAGAAGAAGTTTAAACCTTTTTTTCAAAATGCCCCATTTTCTGTTTTTTCTGAGCTCTGAAAAAGTACAATTTGTAAGTCCATTGACAGTCTTTAACAAACCTACAGAGGCGACGTGTACAGTGTCAAGTTAATGCTCAAGTTAGCCCAAACGCATTTTAAACCAACGCTAGGCCGGTTGGTTTCATCCCCTTACCTCCTGGAAGAGTGGTCTTATTATAGGGAAAACGGCAGAAACTGTTGGAAGAGTCGACAAAAGTTTTCTTGCTTCACAGAGTGCTTACTATTTAAAAGGATGGTCTGTTGTGTCTGTTAGTGTGCATGTGTATGTGTAACTGCCCTGAGCCCATGAGCATTGTATTTCACAAAATGAGACTCTCCTTTACATTTGGGTTGAACTAGCTTCCAGGATATTCCTTTGGGTGGCTTTAATAAGGACAGCGGCTCCTTTCAGAAACACCCAGAGACGAAGGAAGGTTCGGACTCCGATGCTCTGACCCTGAAACATGGGAGGTGTTTACCCCCGTCCACACAGCTTGCTTCCAGCTCTGGCCGATTGTAGTTTAAAAGAAAAAGGGGAAAAAAAGCCTCAAACATTGTTTTACTGTTCTGCTTCTAGAGAAATTGAAGCAGCTTTTTTGGCGACACTTACAGTCATAAAGATAATAATCCCTTTTTCAAGAAGATAACCCATTTGGTCCTCACCAAGTTTGGTAAATATTAAATTGGTTTATCTATCTGTGTTATTTCAAATCCGGCTCTGTTCTTTTTCCATTTCCCTCTCCCAGAGGGTCCAGAGTACGAGTACAGCGGCAGTGAGGATGAAGACGATGACGTCACAGAGGAGGAAGGCGAACCCAGGTGAATGACAAAACACAGCAATGATTCAACAAGGCCACGTCTTATTTAAATGCCTGTTCAACTAAGACAGGGCTTCACACACACTCACTTGTCACATTAAGCGATAAAAAGTCACGGATGTGTGTAGAAAATATTCAGTCACTCACATCTTGTTGACGTTACGGTGCTGTCAAATCACTGCGAGGCACACACATGGACATTTATTTCAGTCCATGAACAGATGCATTACCCTCCTTTTTTAACATCCCTTGATGCCCGACAACAGATGGCTCAACAGACTGAGCACGCGTTCCCAGGATGAGCTTGAAGTGTGTCTTTTTTAAACTCTGCCCATTGCCTTTTAACCCCCAAGTGGTCTTGGAGTGCAGCGCTTCTCGCCATTACTTAGCACCTATTATTTCCATCTCTCTCAGCTCCATAGTGAACGTTCCTGGTGAATGGACGTTGAGGAGGGAGTTTCTTCGTTTGCAGACAGCCGATCGTGAAGGAGGCAGAGAGGGAGGTCACGGAGGAGGAGGGGGTCAGCAAAGACAGCAGGTAGGGTCTGAGTTCTCTAAACACACACACACACACACACAAACATAAGTCAGGTTTTGGATTTCTATCACGAAGTGCCATCACTATACCAGTTTTTTCCCTTTTTTTGGTATTACTGTAAACGTTTTTATCCTACCAACTTGTCCTAATTCTAAAAACACGTTTATTTTGTTGTCCTTTTTCATGCAGAAAAATAGCAAGCATGTCTTTTCCCGAACTCCCCAGATTTACCAGGGTTTTTTTTTTTTTTAAATATAAAAATTAGCAAACAGGAAAAGTATGAGATATTCATGTCAGAAGTATGCTCAGATTTTTCTGATAGCTTTCCAAAGGAAAAACAAAAATCGAGACGCAGTTATTAAAAAACAGAAGGCATCAATTTATTGGTTTTTATACTGAAAGGGTCTTTTTTTTTTAAATCAGTTCAAGAAAAATATGAGTTTATATTTAATTTGATGGCAGCAACATATTCCATAAAAAAAAACTGGAACAATCTTTTTCTAACTTTCTGTTTATGAGAACTGAGAAGGGATTTTACAGGCAGGACAGCCAAGCCCCTAAACTCTGTTGGTAATGCTGTGTTTTTCTCATAGATGCCGCCTGTGGTTTATCATTTTATGTAAGAAGCAACATATGTAACATATGTTACTCTAAAACCTGTGTATACTTCTCAATGTTAAATCTTTCCAGGTGTCCATACTAAGATAAACAACCTGGTTACTATTGTTCCAGAGAGGAACTAATGTACCCCCCCATAACATCACTTTTACAGACTTTTGATCTTCAAGCTGATGACAAACTAAATGGTCCCTTTCCTTTTTAGATAGGATGGAGATTACTGAGTGATGTTCATCTGAATTTATAGTGTTTCCTGAGCCCATGCAGTGTTTTTATGTAGAGCTGCCTGAGAACCTGACGGTCATGAAGATCAAGTTTTGATTTAAAAATGTTTCTTGCGCAGAAAACACTCCAAATCATTTCAGTATAACTAGTTATTATCTACGGTAAATGATGGAATGATAAAGCCTTTTATGATTTAAGCATTTAGCATTGATGGCGCCATTTCATATGCGCTAGTTATAAGCTCCACAGAGACTAATTCAATTGGAGGAGGCTAACTTTTTCCAAATTGCTGAACCTCTGCTCATCTTTGCATCTGAGACACTCATCCTCAAAGGTGCTTTTTTGTACCACATCATGTCACCAACCTGTAAATCAATCTAACAAACAGCAACACGTTCCTCTGTGGCGCCACTTCCTTTTTCAGTCTTCTGCTCACCCAGTCGTGGCTTTTTAAAGTGTGTTGCTGCTATCAAATACGTTACGTGCCGTAGTAAAATGTCTCATCCTGAATATGGGATGTGCTCGGGGAGTTTGATGGTCGTATCAATATCAAAGAAAAACTAACCGGCAAAGGAAAAGGTCCAGCATTTTAACTTCAACCTACACATTATGAGTGATGCAAAAAAATCAGGTTAAAACTGTTAAGAAATGGATCATCTATACAGTTAAATTATTAGCATTTGCACTATGAAAGTTAATTTTAGAGGTAAAAGCATTCATTCAAGCACAGACAGTTCCAGCAAAGCAGGGCCATTCTATCTGATTCAGGTAGTTTCGATATGTGATGACATAAGCATAGATTCAGCCAGATCTTAGTAGGAAAATAGAGGGTTTAGAAAAGGACCCTGGTTTTGGCTTTGGTTGTAACTACCTAGTATCATAGGCTGGAACGGCAGACCTCTGAAATGGAGCTGGAATTCCAGTTCCGAATTTTGCACATACTGTTATTTTAATAGTCTTGTTTGAAATATACCGTATTGTTCCATGTCCAGGCGTTGCAGCAACACAGGCAGCAGCTGGCTGAGCAGGAGCGCTACAAGCAGCAGTTCCTGGCCGACAGGCAGAGGAGGATCCAGCAGCAACAGGAGCAACGGCAAAAGTTAGAGGATGTGAGTTCTCAACATTTTCCCTTTTTCTTTAAAGAAAAAATTTAAAATAAATTAAATGTCATTCAGCAATTCCTTCTAGTACCTTAGTGTCCATATTACTCAGCTCACCCAAGCTGTGCCAAGGTGCCAACTTGGTAAACTGGGACACTGGTTATATAATTAAATCAACTTGTAATTGTAACTGTTGTCAATGGATTACAATGTCTGCTACAAGCCTGAAAAAAGGAAAGCTGTTGTCCACAGCAGTTTACCGTGGTTGTCTTTTACAGCACCAGAGAAAGTGGGCGGAGCTTCAGGAGATCATCGTAGGGGAAGAGTCTGACCCCCGTGACGACCGAATCCCACTAGATGGGAGGGACAGGAGATGTGACTGGAGACAGGTAAAGATGATGAAAGCTTAACATGCTAACTTAGAAACGATGCAGTCGGGTCAGGGCTGAAAGAGGGTGCACAGCTTCCATTTTGTGTGAAGAAAAACCATAACGCATGGCAACATTATCTGATAGGGTCATGCTTATGAGGACAAAAACTCTACAAATGGATGTGGGAACCCTTTAAGGGAATATGGAATGATCTTTCCAAACAGAACAACCAAAAATGTCCTTTGTTTGTACAGAAGCAAGGAATGCCCCCAAGGCCAACACACACACTGCATGTTGGTACTTAACATGCACCAAAATCTCTAAAACCAGATCGGATATCTGTGTGAGTCTGGGCCACAGATCACATGATCAGTGGAAGTCATTGTAGCTAGCTTTTTGGCTATTTGACGTTTTTCACACAAAACACAAAAGGAGTTTCAGTGTGTCAAAGTGGACAGCAGTGATGTGGTGCATCCTCATACAGACTTTTGATAACCCCCCAAATTAGTAAGTAAGGGTTTTCTGAACTTCTTGGATCTTGAGGATGTTTCGACTCAGATTGGAAAAGCTTAGGAATACTCCCTGACAGGTGAGTGTGTGGGACGTGACAGGCTGTGTTTGTGTGTATGTGTTTGGCTCTATCCATATTTGATGTTGGAACTGTGTGAGATGGATGTGCGTCTGAATCACACAGCAGCATTGTAGTAGTTATGTGTCAGCCTCCATCACCAAGCAGCAATAGTCAAAAACAGGTAGAGGTCTTGTAATGGCTCTTTCATGCAGAAGCAGTGTGGTGCCACGGGCCGAGATGCCTCCAAAGTTTTTATTGATGATGTGACAGTACACACAAGCAGGGAGATGATTTCAGAAGTCCGTAGGGGCGAACTGCCTGCTCAGATTCAACCGAATGCTTGTCGGTGAAGTTTGTCATGCTCAAATGATTTTTGGAAAACAATGACGATTTCTGGAGGTAAAGAAGTGGAACATCTGTGGAACGTAATTCACTTTCTGACAGCAGGAAAAAATGGAAATAACCAACAGCTGAACACCACTCCAGTAAAGGCCACAAACAGGATCCGCAGCCCATTTGATGTTTGTTCACACCGCCTCACAAAGAATTGCTAAATCTAAAGGGCACTGGCTCTCTGGTTACGCTTACATAGTGGCCACTCTAAAATACTAAAAACAGCACCTGCTGTTGCTGTTGACCAGTGCTGCTGTCAACTATACTTAAACATTCAGGAAGGAGTCTTTTGTTTTTTACGGCCTTCAAAAACTTTAAAGGGAATCAAGGCTCTAAAATTTGAATTGTAAGTTAAAACTGTGTTCCATAAGTTAGATTTGAAAGAAAAAGTCATTATTTTTCAATGCTTTGACACACTCTTAACATCACTTCGTAATCAGGCGTGACCAGGTTCATAGTTCACGCTTTTCCATTAACAGTTCACCAGAGACCATGATATTGGAACATTGAGTTTATCCTACTATTTCTGCTTTACGTGTTTGGTTAGCATTTTAAGAGTTTGAGTAAATTCAAAACTCAGTGTTCAATCCCGCACACATAAAAATGGAACATCACTTTTTGTCTTTAGTGAATTATTTTAACTTACAAATGTCTCTGTACAGCATGCCAGAACTTTTATGTTCTCAGGCTTTTCCTTGGAAATGTTCTTGATTTAGGGGAAAACAGTGCAAGTAACTATGAGAAAGCCCAGTCTCCAGATAAATATTACTGTCTGTGTTCCAGAGGTCACAGTCAGGACAAACAGGCCTTAATTTAAGAGTCAGTACAGTTAGGACTATACTACTTTAAATTGGCTACATTCTAACACTCAACACTATTTTTTATTTAATAGACAAAGTTTAACCATGGATTTCATGTTTCTTATCACAAACATTTTCAAAACGAACAGCTTTTTAACAAACTGACCAAGTTTTGTCAGTTCATTCACCTTTAAAATCCTACAAAAAAACAAATACTTTAGGGTCTTTTTTATAAGATTTTTTTAATCCATCTATTTTTCACCATTCAGGCTTTAAAGTGTTGGCTCTTCACAGTGAGACTAGTATGAGTTACAAGTTACAGCAGCATGGCTTTTTTCCTTTCTTGTGGCTCCCTCATGCCTTTGTAGCATCTGCAGAGGTGGCTTAGTTTTTTTTTTTTCTTCAAGCAGCTTCTCCACACCTTTGTGCTTTGCTGTCTTCCACCACTTTTCACTTGGCTGTTTTACCACCTTAACCCTCCTTTGAGTTCCTCACCCAGTTTCTGCTGAAACTTCCTTCATAGGATTTGGATGCAGGTGCACTCCTAAAAGCAGATGTAAGCATTTATACCTGCAAAGTATGTTATGTGATGCAAATGTCAGTTCATTTTGCGTGAAAATATTGTTTGGAATGAGGGTTTGCCTTTGTATAATGATGCCAACACGTGTGTGCACGGTTATCAAAATAAACAAATTACTGCAAGGATTTTCCAGATAGATTGCAATCATCTTGGCTCCCATTCCGTTACCTTTGAAGATAACAGCATCTTTATTTGAACTCTATATCTGCAAATCCCATAACATCAAAATGACCGCCTCTGTCAGAAACTACTGTATCCTCCATCCTTTAAAAATGATAAAATACCTATGAAAAATATTTTTAGATTCTAAGGTGCCTATTTAAACGAAAAGTCAAGGACCAGCAAGGCTGTTTGTATTTGACAATGTAATCGAACATGCAAATTTATAATTGGTCAAAATGCCAACTTGCCATTCTTAAGTCTAGTTTTTGAATATGACTGTTTTTTTCTTACACTCCTTATTCCAAATCCATTCGTACTCTGCTGATGTTTGCATTTATATATATCACATTACTTCACAGTGAGGATTCATGAGAGATTTCCACATGAGACAGAAATGACACACAGACAGCTCTTGTCAGGAAAAAGGACTAAGTTTTCTTACCAGAAAACAACATACTGGTTTAATAAAAAACTGAAAGAAAGGGGCTCTCCCCAGAATAAAAGAAGACACTCCAAGAATGTGTTGGGAAGATCCCCAGACTCAGGATGAGTCATAAAAGAACTGGAGAAGAAGGAAACAGCGTGTCTGAGAAAAAGGAAATAACTGATAGGCCAGACCCATGCATGGGACTGAACATCGAGAGATCAAAAAAAATTCTACAAAAGATTTAAAAGGGTCCGAGATTTATCGTAACACGTTAGAGTTAGTTTTAAGGTTAGAAAGGTTAGAGTTAGTATCAGAGATGTATAAGCAAATATCTGATACGGAAGGCATAACCCAACGGTGTGGCCTTTGTTACAGTCAACCGCGAACCCATACCCTTTAAAACAGAGCTATAATATAAAATTATAGCATGGATGAAAAAGGAGTTTGTTTGGCACAGAGAAAGCACAGATGGACTCGGATGGTATCGATTCTGATTTTGGGTCCATTCCGACAAAAGGAAACCTCTGTACCCAAGATTACATCATTCTAACGGTACACACATAGATTTATCGCTGGCATTACCTCTGGTGTACTCAATACATGTGCGCCTGACCAGGTGGAACTGTCTGTTTGCAATGACAGCACAATTGGTGCAGACATCATAATCCCTATTTGTCGTAGGTGTCTACTGTTTTCATTTTCTGGCTGATTGTAAAGCAGCCCTCTGTAGACGTTCTCCAAGAACCTCTGCAAGAACTTTGGAAGTTGGATGACCCTGGGCCAGGGATTCTCCTCCAACTCTTAGGTTTCAGACGAGCAGACACTGAGGTGATAGACGCAGAGCGAAAGACAGCAGCAGTGAGATCAGGAGGAAGGAGCATGAAAGATAGCGAAAGGGCTGATAAAAGCCTGTTGGGACAGGTTAAATGGGGTCTTTCGGCTCCCTGAAACAGACACAAAGCTCTCTTTCCTAAATATTCAGAATTTGATTTTTCAGTTACTAATTTTAATGCCTTCGAGATGAATCCGTTACACACACCAGTGGGTTCCACTAAATGTATATTAACACCCCACTTACCTTTAAAAGATACCGTACTTTAATGCTAATAAAATCTGTCTGATTCTGTTATATTCCAATGTATGTGGCAGAGAGCTATCTGTACGAATTAGTCCCTTATTGCACAGATTTCTCCAAACTCATTAACTTCTGCATGCATAATGGATCCATCAGACGCTTCGATGCATTTTAGTGCCCCTGCGTTTAACCATGTGTCAGGCTCGGTGAGCGTGTGATGTGATGTCATGTATTATGTCAGATAAAGAGGCGCCCTGGCGCGGCAGTTCAGATCTGTTTGCACATCAGCTGATTTGGCGAGTGTGATGGGATGGGGGGCGTCGGTAGCTTGCGCAGTGACTCGGACTGAACTGCTTTATTTACCAGATATAAACGTAAGAAGCCCGGCAGCTGTGTCACACAGTGGAGACATGCCAGGGATTCACAAGGCATTTCCTTCAATTATTGCTGTGACTTTAACACGTTAATATCGAATAATTAATCACAGAGAAAAAAAATCGTATAAAAAAATAAATAAACACGTCCTCGTTGCAAGTACCTAATTGCTGGCACACCGGCAACGCTGATGTAGCTTGGTAGGAGGCAGGAATGTATCTAGAGTTCAATTGCCAGCCACTAATAATATGCCCAGGAGGCCAAAACGATGGTTAACCAGTGATGGACGACAGAACTGCTTTGCTTGTTAGGTGGAATTCATTCTTCATTAAAGTCGTCCCAATGGCAGCCCACATTACTTGTCTGTCATGATTGATTCAGGCACTTCTTCTGTTTTTTGTGCAACGGTTTGTGCCACCAGAAGAATGTGAGTGGTCTCTAAAAGTTCAGACATTGCGATTCAGAACCAGCATCCATTTATTGCTGTAGAGTTATTCCCTCCAAGGCAGTAACCAAAAAACACAGCCCAATTCTTGCCTCGTTTTGAGTTCTCTCTCCTTCAATTAATCACAAATCTTCTAATTAACATGGTTCATTTATTTATTCACGTCCAACCTGCTGGGATGAAACTGAATGTTATCCCTGGTGTAAGAAATTAATTGTCTTGGCACACCTTGGATACCAAGGTTCATATACAGTCCTGTCAAAGAGAACATAAACCCTTTTTCAATTGTAAAGTTTTACATATTGGAACAAAACAAAGGGAAAAAGAGATATTCCTGGTCTTAATATCAGTAATAAATATGATGCTGCTGGTGCTGGTGATCCGATGTTCCAGACTAATTGATCATCGGCAAAGGTGAGGAGCTCTGTAAGACTGTAGGTTTTGTCAGTTTGAGCAAAGATCTATTGGCCCCTTTTGACTAGTAATAATACCATGGATTAGATAGTTTTCCATTATAAGTGAGTGATGGATAAAAGCGTCTGGTAAATGCATAAATGTAAATGTAAACAAGCAGGCAATATGGGATTCAGTCACTTTTCCCAAGAACACTTCAACATGTGGGAAAAATCTGGAGTCAAACTACCAACCTACCGGTACCAATTGGTAGGGAGGTTATCTTCCCCCTGAGCTACGGCTGTTTAGTTTGCATTTAAATGAAGGACATCACAGCAACCAAATGCCATGATTACCTTGTTGCTGGACCACAGTGTTGATTTGAATGTAGCAATTTCCCCCACTGATGATCACACAAACGATAAACTTGTGGGTTCATTGTCGCAGCATTTTTACAATTGGCTGGGTTCAGCGACCCATTAGTGGTCTGCAGCTTTAAAGAGTGCAATAAACCCAAGAGGAACAGCTCACACTCCACGGGCCTCAGGTAGCATCTTACATGTGAAAGTTCAAGTATCATCTGTTTGGAAGGGCTGAAGGAGAAAGATTTATGGCAAATAAAACAGGAAATCTATAGTCTACAGTATGAAAAAGAGAACAATGTATGTTTTCTAATGATCTGGTCAAACTTACGACAAAAAACCCCCCCCAAAAACTAAACTGAGTTTTGTTACAGTTGTAACAAGAATACATTCACAACAACAATATGTCGTGTTTTTGTGAAAGTGACCTATTTACCTCATATTTAGTCCTGGTGAGGACCAGATAATTTCATTTCTATTTTGGTTCTGATATGTGAAACCTTTAGTTAGATGAGGCTGCAGTGCAGGTGACTGAATTGGGGTTTTTGTGGACTGTATCATCCTTAAAATGACTTTCCATTTAAAGATACAGTTGTTCCACGGGATTCTTGCTGACTTTGGCTAAAGGAAATTTTATGGTTACGATTTTGAGGTAGTTATCTTGCAAGCGTGGCCTTTCACCAGGCCTAACGGTCGCACAGCGGTGGAGGTGACGAGAACTACTTTGATTTAACATTGCTCAGAGGGAGAAAAAGTTTTGCACTGCTGACTTTGCTCCGGGTTTGAGTTAAGCTGCCCTTTCAGATTAAGCACTGCTGAATGTGACCCTTTACAGCCACCGCCCGAACAAACACAATTTAAAGGCAGCGGTGCAACCACTGCAAATGTTTTAATCTGGTAAATTTAAGCAGAAATCTCTGCCACAGAAACATCAACGTGGGGATATTTAGATTTAAAAGGTTTTTTCCTTCTCTCTCTGTCTCTCTTTTTTCTTTTTTCTTTTTTTTTACTACTAGAAAATCTAAATGAGGTCATGATAAAATATTCAGAGTTAAGGGCACCGGCTAAAAGCTCTGTGCCATCTTGCACACGCTGAATATTTTAGTTTCCACACTCCAGACCTCAGTGAACCCTAATTAAAGTATCGGTAGCCTGTAGATGTGTGTAAGTATAAGTGTGAGCGTTTGCGTCTTTCTATGGATTCTTACACAGACTTATAAGTGTGCGAAAATGTTTAGTTTGAGGGATTTCAACCTTTAAGGTGACATTGAAAATGACTGCTTAAGGTTTGATAAACTAATTAAAATCATGGAATAACATTGCAGATAGCATTACCACGTGGTCATCTCTTCATTGAATATGGCACGTGTGTGTGTTGAACAGGAGCAGGCTGGCAGACAGCGAAGCGCCGATGTGTCAGTAAGGCCTCTGGACTTCACAGCAGAGCAGGTAACAAACCTTCCCCTTTTCTGTCTTTCCTTTAAAGTGGGTCGACTCCTAACGCTGATGTTTTTCTTCACTTCTTGAAGTCTTTTTTTTTTTTTTTACTCCCCCCGAGATGAATGTCACTTGAAAAAGTTCATCCTTATTTCGAGACTGAGTGACTTTTTAGGTATGAAAACAACTGTGTAAGACCAGAAAGGAAGACGCAAGGCTTTGATCTAAAGCGCGATGCGCAGGAGTGTTCGGAGAAAGTTGGAATCATTGTTGGCGTGGGGAGATGGAGGATTAAAGGAATCGTAAGCATGAGCAGATGATATGAAATGGGGAAATGAAAGGGAAAGTTACAGAAGGTGGGTGTCTTTAATTTGACGTGCATGTCTTAAAATCCCGGAGTAGGATAGTTTATTTCTGCTGGATGACGAGTGATTTTTAATTCAGCGTGTTTCTGAAGTGACAGTCGGGACATGCAGTGTTCTCCTTTCTTCCCTCATTCGTTCCCTTTTTTTCCCCATCCATCTTATCCTGTGTCATCAGCGGCAGGGAACATTTCCTAGTTGTGGAATAGATCTTTTGTTCCAGTTCTTCTTGTTCCTAAAGTAACTGCCTAGTTTCACAATTCTTTATAAGCCTCATTGCATTTATCTCATAATAATACTGGTCATCTCTGGGTGGACAATGGACAACTGATAAGGAGACACAATCCATTCGCCAAACGTGTGTCAAACAGTCCAATTTCTTAGAAGATGTAGTAAATGCTGTCGGCTGTTAGAACAGCATAATAAACCGTGGTTGTAATTCCTCCAACACATATCGGCTCCATGTTTTAGTTTTTAATAGCTGACTGAAGCCTATGGCTTTTATGGTCAATATTTAATATATGTGCCAAAGTAAAACCATGCTGTACCGATGGTGCATTCAAAGAAGATTGGAAAATCTGAATTGCCACTTCTGGCCAGTAAAAGAAAAGCACCAAATAAAGCCCAAAAATAGGACATAAAACATGAAACAAAGTACTTGTAGAGTATTATTATCCATTTTATTAATTAAATTCAGTGAAGTTTCTGACTTCCAACATGCAAGTCTGAGGTCATCATCAAGTCATCATCATCTGAGGTTCAATCTCGTTTTTTGCGATTATGGATATCGTGAATTATCTAAAACTCAGGAAAATTAGACTCTCCATAATTCTTACACACAGCAGGACTCATCCTTGCAGTAAGACTGTTTGGTCCACTCTTTTGAAATTGTCTAAGCAATTTATTATAGACCCATTTGCCGGAAATGTGACTGGATCATCTCTACACCTTGATTCTTTTGTTTTTCAGACAATCGGTCTCTAGATCTGCTTCTGTTTGTGGGATCATTGACCGAGTTCGGCCAAGTTTTAGCTGTCAGATAGGTGGTCTCAAATTTTATTCTAGAAAAGTTTGCTATACAGAACAGTTTGTAGTAGACTGCAAGCTCCATGTCCTGTTTCTGTAAAAAAAAAAGCCCAGATCATCAGCCCTCTACGACTGTGTTGGCTGCTGTTAGTGCATTTTGATCAAACATCTCCACACATCTTGTTTTGATGTAACTTTCCAAACCTAATCTGTGCTGCCATGTTTGTTTTTGAGAACAAAAGCTTTCTCCTGCTACTTATAGTGAGTGATCACTATTTGGTTTTTCATTTTGCTGATCATTTGAAACTATTTTTGATATAAACATTCAGTAAAAGGATTGTAGTAATGAAAAGTCCCATTTTCTTTGGGTTCATATATTAGGATATCTAGTGTAACTACTGGCTTAGTCTTTTTCTGCTTGTACTGTCATCAAAATTTAAGATAACATGCTGACTAAGGTCCATAGAGTCTGAGATTTTCTTCAGTTCTCAATGTCCATCCCTGCAAAATTGGCTTAATAATTCTCTTATAGAGTAATGAATTTAAACTAGTTCAGAAGTGACCTGATAACCATTTCCCAGATCAGATCATGTGGCTGTCCCACTCGGGATTGTGATAACAGATACTTGAAACTGTCCAAAGTTCTGCTTTCACAGAGGGGCCCACACTTTCTGATGGACATTTTTGCCTCATTTTAGCAGCCTGTCACGTGCCAGAACTGTAATTTTCTGTTTTTTGACTGTTTTTTATTTTTTCACGCTGTTGCTGTAGAAATTAGCCTTATTCTCATTGATTAAAAAAACCCCAACAACAACTGATATGTTACTGTGACCTTAGAGTAGTTCAGCTGAGGAGCTTTGGAAAGTATGCAGAGTATTCTAACACTGCATGCCTCCCATTCTGTGTCCTCATTCTTTAGAAAACAGCAGATTTTACAGTGGCTTATCTTAACTAGCTGGCATGTGAAAGCCATATTCATGTCTTATTTGGACAGACCAGCAGCACACAGCTCTCGTAAGCTGGCTGAGGAACAGCTTTGCTCCAATATCTATTGATGCTACGCTGTAAAAAAAAAAAAAGCTAAATGGTTTCTTAGTTCTTCCTCTAGCCAATATTCAATTTAAATTTTTAAAACTGATCTGTAAGCTGGTTCATTTAGCTTATTTGAATAGCTTTTCCTCAGGATAAAGTTGTGGTTGCAAATAACACTGCTAAGATAAAGTTTGCTGTGGGAGTCTTTGCCAGAGTGGGGCTGCTTCATCTCTCTTTTGATGTTGGTCTCAGCCGCTTTAATGACTCAGGAATTGCTTCGTGAGGTTTCTCTCTTTGCCCCCAAAGCATTATCTTACGTCAAGTCAGTTTCATTTATGTAGCAAATCATCATAAATGTCAGCTCTTGGCACTGTAGAAATAGTCAGGTACAGTCAAATCAAATTCAGGTTAATTTAATTCCAAATTAACCATTCATACAGAACCATAGTTTTACAAAAACATTTCCGAGCTTGGGAAACCAACAGATTGTGCTTAATTTTCACTTTGATCCAATGAGTGTGCACGAAGTGACAGTGGGAAGAAAAAAGTTTTTTTTCTCTTTTTACCAGAAGAAGTCTTGCCAGAACCATTCTCGGGGAAGATTAGACTTTATGTCTTAGAGGATGGGAAGCCAAGGAAAATTCTGTTGTTGAGATTTGAAAGTCCTTTACTTTTTATATTTTTTATAATAAATTTTAGTCAATAAGATAAACATGTCCTTCACTTAGTCTACATAATTGAGAGTAAAGCTCTTTTTTAGCTTTATTTGTGATAACAAATTCCCTGTCATTTCATTCTGAAGGGATTCTTATTTGTGTACAATTTGATATGTTGTCTGTTTAAACTAAAATATTTGATACGCTGCCTTATGATAACAAAAGGTCAACATGAAAGTGAACAAAACAAGCTGAATCAATGTTGTGAATTAATTTTCTTAACATGAAATTAGGACGAGGATCTGATGGTGTTGAACTGTTACCAAGCAGCTTATACCAGTGTCTGGTTTCAAGTCCTCCGGCTTCGTCACTGTGTTTGTCTGCTTTTGGTGTTTGCTGCATAGAGAGCTGCGGCTGCTAGCCAGCTGCTTCAGCGCAAGGCCCAGCATTCCCAGCCCGAAAAAAAGCCCCAGCCCCCGGTCCAGCATCAGCAGCCCTCAGCGGGCCGGAGGTCCCACCGCACCCTGCCCAAAGACCAAACCCAGCTGCTGTCGCTGCAGCACGACCACAGACACAGGGAGAAGGAGAGGCAGAGGCAGAGAGAGGCGCCAGTGGCCGCTGTCCAGAAGCTAACGGTCATCAGCGGGAGCAAAGCTGTTAGTGCCGCTGCCGCTTCCCCCAGCCGCTCTGCAAACAGCCAGCGCGTAGCGGTAAACCCTGCTATCCCCCCGCTGCCCATCAGCTTTTATGACCACCTCTGCATCCCACATCTAAATGTCTTTTTTTTTGTCTCAATTCACTCTACTTCTCTTGAGCTTAACCTGTTTTTTCCCGCTTTATGTTCAGTGTTTCTTCCACCTTCCATCACTTGGGTGTGCCTAATTTATCCTGACCTCTTTAACTTCGTCACAAAAGTCTAAAGACCAAAGGAAAAAAGCAAATGCACTTAAGCAGGGGAAATTAGCCCCAAGAAGGCAGTATAGGCAGTGTTTTGTACATTTGTAAACATCCTGACAGCAATTAGTTTTCGACCCCCCCCCCCCGCGCAGCTATTAAAATTCTGCAGACTCCTTAGGTTATTTTTCTGTGGATGGGATGATCTTATCTGTTTCAGACTTTCATTTTGCTTGTTAATGCATGGTGGCAGATGCTTGCTGAGGTGGCAGAAAGTAGTTTTTTTGCTCTATTCTTAACACAGTTCCTAAACCACACAAGAAAAAAGGAAAGAACCCTCCCTCAATGGACTATGTGCCAACCCAATTTCCGAGAAGTTGGGATGCAGTGTCAAATATCAACAGAAAGCAGTGTTTTGCAAATCTCATAGACCGGTATCTTAAAACGTGTCACAATTTGAATGTGAGTCTCAGGGGCCTCTTGCATTTATTGTGAACAACACATCTAAAACCAGGCTCGCAAAAGGCTGGGCAGGTCAGCCATAAATAAGACGACAGTGGAATTGATAAGGGTAATTAACAGTAGGTCAGTGTTATGATTTGGCATAAAAAGCAAACTGTAGAGAGGCAGAGTCTCTCAAAGCTACAGATTAGCAAAGTTTCCAATTTCCAATGTGGAAAAATGTATTTAGAGATTCAGTGCATATTCATATTAATGCTCCTCAATGACTTCAAATATTCCATCATGTGCAGCACACTGTATCCCCTAAAGAGGACATATGGTGGATAGAACACATCCAGATTGTTGCAAAAGTCTGTAAATTTGTGAAGCTGGCAGCTTGCTCAACCTGAAAGACAATCAACACTGAAAATATTATAGTTGTGCCCCGATCCAGGCAACGAGAAGAGTCTGGATGCTGGAGCCAACCACCTGCCAGTCCCAACCTTTCATCGACTGAAAGTAGTTTGTGATTCATTAAACAAAGAAATATAACCAAGCCAGCTGTTGCAGCTGGAAGTCTCGGAATCAGACAACGTTTTCCAGCAGCTGGCCTTCTCAGCGTCCTCAGAAAATGCAGAATTGAAGGAATGTCCAAGTCCGCAGGACCTTTGGTTGTGGAGATATCAGGAAGTTGAAAATGATGGTCTAAGCGTTAGGGGAGAATTACAGGTTTGTGTGATTACACACTTAGGTGAATATAACTGGGACTCTACATCCCCAGATTATAAAGCACCTTCCATTTTCTATGTCCTTTGGTGTTTTTTTAAATGTTACAAACAGCATCCCAACTTATTTTAAAGTTATGTTGTGAAGGTGTGTTCAGCCATCTGTAAAAGAGGACGGCTATTTTCAGAATGTCCAGCTCGACGGATGGTGCGAAAAAGGTCACTTAGAAAGCAGCATGCTTTCAGGGAACTTTGTTTTTTTGTAAACTGCTGAGAAGGTGTCAGATATTTTCACATAAATAACACATCAACAGTTTTCAGAGGCTGTGAATTGAGAACAGCAGTTATGTCATCTTCCTGTGCTGTTGTGACAGTCAATAGTCTGACCTGAGCATCTTTAAGGGGAGCCCCATTGTAGTTTGCAGGAAGAAACCTGTTACTGCAGAATACTCTCAATAAGAATCTCCTTTACTCCACTGAATTTTACATGTGATCATTTTCTTCTTATTTTTAATGAACTAATTCTCAATTTTCTTCTCGAAAGGACATTAGCTTTGAACCATTCCATTCTCTAAACTTCACATTTAACAATCTTGGACAGCCCTCTTTCAGCCAAGTGAGTGACTGACACCTGTCAATCTTATGGGCATTCCTCTGTTTTAGATGGAGGCCCAGGAATCAAACCTAGCGAGGGCACTTTTGGCCACTGGCCTGCCCACCCAGATGCACTCTAGGCTGGGCTCTGGAAGCAGCTCCAGCCCTTGTACACCAGCCATGCAGAGAGCTCACTTCAGCCAGGTATATGCAACTCAGACACACACACACACAGCGTGGCCGCTTTTAACAACTTGGGTAATGATGCGTTTCTTCCTCACACGTATTCACAGACGGACATTTTTATTTTTTATTTTTTTATCCCCCCAGAATGCCAATCTCCGCTCAAGTCGAGATACTCCTCACAGCAGCTCCATGTCAGATATGGCCATCTCACCCTTGGCTCCGTTTTCCCCCATGTCCCAAACTGACGACTGCGTCTTCTGGGATGCCGATACTCCACCCAAAGTGAGCTCGACCGCCCTCGCCGCGTCCCATTTAAAAAAAAAAAAAAAAAAAAAAAAAAAAAAAAAAAACACACGATAGCCTTTGGTGCCAGAAGGTGTCAGTGCCGACACAAATGAGGCATAAATTCACCAGATGCGCATCGACAGGGGAAGTTGTTGTTTTGCTACTGCCAGTCAGAGGATGCAACCTGCGTCATAGGGCATGGCCTAATGTGTGCACTAAGAAACTTGTATTCCAGTCACATTGTGGTAAGGAAGCACACAGCGGGAGGTTGGTGTTCAGTGTAATGTTGAATATGTGCATGTGTGCGTTTGGGCTTGAGGCTGCGTTTAACCTCCAAGGACTGTTAGAACACATCCCTAACTAACTAAACGAACCAGACATACTAAAAAACACACCATTCATTGGGTGTGCAATGAATATGCTGGCAGGTATATTTGCAAAGAGAGACCCATATGGAGTTGATCAAACAACCAAGAACTACTACAGAGAGAGGAGGGGAGCACAGCTAGACGTCCTGTTTGCCGTGTTACCATATGGAGTCGATGAAGCAGCTAATAACTCAACACTCTCTCTTACAGTTTGGTGGCTGGAGCCACTCTAAACCACCAAAGCGGCGAGAAAGTGTTTTTCTTCAGGGGTACCAGCAGCACTAAAAATCATAAAAGCTTGTCTTTTACCCACCAAAGCCAGGCATCTATGATTCTTTTTTTTGTGCATCCGCCTGAATACAAACAATTTAACAGCTGAATAATCTCATGCTCCCACCATGAAAACCGTTTTGTCCTTCTTTTATTATAAATCCATACTAAAGGCTTTTTCATCCTCTGCAAAAGAGGAAAAAGCTTCTGCAGCAGAGTAGAGAGGAAGCAGCAAACACCAGGCTGACTTTGAGGGTGCGAGTGCAGGCAGATGCAGGATGTGGGCAAGTTGTCAGAAGGATGATAGGTATTCCCACAGCTCTCTTCCTGCTCTGTCGGGTGTGTCTTCCTCTTTGCAACCGTGTCATGTGACCCAGGATGTGTGCGGTCAGTAGGTTGCCAGCTGGAGACTCAAACTGAGTCAGAAAAAGACGCAAATGTTAGAGAGAAGATGAAAAAAAACTAGTTCTGTAAGTCTTGCGTGAAATATGGTCAAATTGAGGGGGAAATTGAGAATGTTTTGTTTACATTAGAAAAACTGGTTTGGCATAATTGCACAAGATTATCTAAAGTGTAAATAGGCTGATGTCATTATATTCACTTCTATGAATATAGGCCAAGAAAGATTTCAGTGCACTTTCGTTCACAGCCTTTAAGGCCCTGTGAACACAGTTTTACATGAAGGTTCTAAAACAACAGATCTTGTGGTTCTCCGTCTACCTGTTTTCATTCAAATCTATTTTGTCGTTTTCGCCTTTAAGGTCCCGGAACGAACTACTTCCAAATTTTATTCCAGAGAATTGGTGATGGGACACAAAAGGACAGCTTCAAGGTAAATACTATAATATATATATAATACCGAAGACACTAAAAAGAATCCTTATGTCTTTCTCAGAAGCTCACGCTGCCTTATTTAAGGTGCCAGCACCGTATTCTACCATAATTTCGGACCACCTGTGGCTCATTGTTCTGATTTGGCTTCTGTTCACTCTCAGATCTCTGATCAGAACCTTCTCAGCACAAAGACTCACGGCTAAATGGAAAAAACTGGTGTTTTACACGCTGAGTGTCACATCCTGAAATCTCAGCACCAGATATAGCAATTTTCTAATTTCTTTCCGCATAGCATGTTGACAGTAATAATGGGCCTTTCATAACAGCAAAAATATAGTAGGTATTTTTGGCAGCTTATGAATTGAAAAGCAGTTATAACGCAAATGTTGTTTCATGGCTGTAAACTGATGTAAACCCAATGTTTGCTTCAGGCAAAGAGCCCGGACCCATTTTCCTTGAAGAGAAATTATAGGGAATAAAAAACTGACCACATTTTTAATCAATGTATTTTAGTTTAAATAGATTGTTAAACCTGTGTCACTGCGGGTTCCTCATGGGTCATAAGAAAAATGACCCATGAAGGACTATTGCTTCCAACAGATTTAAGATTAGGTTACCTACCAAGTTATAGGGGACAAGCCTTTGTACCACTTAATTCTAAACTCTTCTGGTTCACATTAGTATTTGATAATAGCTCCTGTGCTTAGTATACCAAATATTATTGGTCTTCCCTCAGTTTTGAGAGAGTGGCCAAGCCTTCTTACGTTCTTTTATCAAAATGAACACAATATGATACACTGCAGCGTTCGATAATGACATTACTCGACAGGATTGTACCACCCTGAGCCATGGTTCTGCTCGAGGTTTCTGCCTGTTAAAAGGAAGTTTTTCCTTTCTTGTGTCGCCTAGTGCTTGCTCATGGAGGGAATTGTTGGGTTTCTGTAATTAACTGCAGAGTGGGGTCTGACCTGCTCTGTTTGGAAAGCGCTGTGAGACAACTGTTGTTGTGATGTGGTGCTATATAAATAAAATTGAATTGAGTTTTACTTTTAATAAATACCCACAAAATGGAGCAATCTTACTAAACTATCAGCAGCACAGCAAACATAATCACACGGCCCCGATGCTGCCTATCCTAAAAAGAGGAAGTGTGCACACACCTTTAAAGAGAATGGCTGACTGCAAATAGATCAGAATAGTTTAGCGTACGTGTTTGGTTTAGATAAGACTAAATGAGGACAAGTACATGTGCACCGATATATATCTCCCTACCGGTTGTTTTGAATTCTTCCTCGGTGTGTTTCTCTCTCCATCTAGTGGCAGCCCAGCGTCTGTAGCAGACCGGAGCGGAAGGTCGGCACCTCGAGGATACTCCTCACCAAGCGGCAACCACCCAGGTCGGTGACACTGTGGAAGCATGAAAGAAATAACAATTCTTAAAGAATTAAGGCTCTAAGCATCTCTGATGCTGGATGAAATCAGTCGTTCTGTGAGAGAATTGAATTGCTCCAGATTGTTTCGCTCACTGGAGAAAAGAGTAACTTAACTTTCAGATTCCGCCACTTTGCTCTGTTTCCAAAGACGTTTTTGCGGTTTGGTGATTGTTCAGTGTGTGGGTACGCCTGTGTGTGTGTGTGTGAACTTGTGCTGACTCATTTCTCAGGTTAGCCTGGGCAAACCACAGTCATAAGCAAAGCCTAATACACACACTCATACGCCCAAACCATACACAACAGAAGTGTGAAGCCATAGATGGATGGAATATGTTGCGTGTTTCACGGTTGCCTTTTGTTTACAGTGGAAAAGAGACCAATTTTGATGTCTCCCAATCAGTTTAGCTACTGGCCTCGGCCTTCTTTGTTCAGAGTCACAGATCACTTGAGATTCTCCTTGATTCATGGACCTCCCCTCATTTTAGAGCCCAGGATACCCCGCTCTACCTCCGCTGCATGGCTCGTTTGAATGATTTTTGAGACATTTCTTTGTCTAATGTATTTCTGAAAGACACACCAATGGTGTTGCGTACAGAGTTTCCCTGGTATAAGGATGCTTCGCAAAGAAAGATTTTCAACAATCCCCTTTGCTTCTCACCCTACTGGCACCTCCAGATGCTCCTGGCAGGTGACGGTAAGACTGTTTAGGTGCCAGATTTTAAACCGCTAGCTGTCGAGTTACCATTACAGGTCAAGGCTGTCAATGTTCTTACTCTAACAGTAGAGCAAATAGAGATCGTTTGGATTCATTTGCCACTAGCATCGCTTTCAGCTGCAGGAGACAGCTGGCTGTACTGAAAATACTATAAAATAAAATAAAATAAAAACTTAAGAAAAAGCCAATTCACATGACCATCTGGCCCCGAACAGCCTGAATTTGAGGACTGAAAGATATGCAGCAGATTGAAAGGTGTATTTCAATAGTAACCACCATCAGGGGGCAGTGTTTTATTACACGAGTTATGTTTTCTACTGCAACTATAGTTTAAGTTATTCACCAGCATGTGCTGTTTTATTTTGCCTAATAAAAGGCAAAAAGAAAGAAACTCGCTTCGTTCTGTTTCCAACCAAACCATACAATCTGTATATATTGTACTGGCAGCACCAGTTACTGTGTCCTTCTGGCTACAGGGCAGAGTGGATTTCTTAGTTACTTGTTCTTAGTCTGTTTGTACAAAGCAATATTACCCTCAAACATAGTTTGTCTCTGCTGTGTACTACTTCACATTGTGTTTCGAAGTGCTGAATTACGAGCAGCAATCAGCACTTCTTATCAGCACAGATTTTTTTATTTAAGAGTTTCCACAAAGAACACCTTTATGTGATCAACATTGTCCCGTTGACTCTAACCTAAAGACATGTGTTTATGCGTGTGTTTTTCAGGCTACTTCAAACTGGAAAGTCCTCTCCTGCAACACCGTCTACATAAGCAGAAGAAGACAGAAAACACAAGTAGTGGAAATACACAAGTAAAGGCTTGACACGAGCTAATTCAAATCTGCTCCGATGACACATTTGAATTTAGTAATGGACTCCTATCCTCCCCCGCTTTGTGTCAAGCAGGGACTGACACCCGCCGGGGGCCGGCTCAACAAGGCCACAGAATACTCCTCATCTAGTGATGAGGTCGGAAGCAGCGATGATGAAGACAAAAGCAGGTGAAGACACCTGCTTGTTACTTTTAAATCAAGAAACTTGAAGTAAATTTAACATTCTGGGTCCACACAATTTAAAAAATGAAAATGAAAATTGAATTGGCACAATATTAAATGTAAACTCTGTTCATGGGGAAAATTAATAGCGTTCATTCGTATTGCTCTTTTATTTTATTTCCACTGCACCAAAAGTGTGTTGGTACGCTTCAAACATGTTTATGCTTAATTGTTTGGCTCAAGGTCTGGGATATCCAACGGGAGACCAAGATACTTCAGAGGAATATCTGACGGCATTGTCCTGCAGCCCCACCACAATTTAAACCAGGTGCTCCTCACACACGGACACACACAGCTTACCGCGAGACATCACACTGCGGAAATCTATAAGACATGTTATTTGAACATATCTGATACCTGAAACTTTGCGAGTAAGGTGGTTAAAGCAGCTTTGTTTTTTCCTTCTCTGATGAACATATGTTTCTGAGCAGAAAACTTACAGCAATATATCAAACCAAAAAACAAAATCTCTGACACTGATATAAATCTTTTCCGAAACACCTTTTGTGAACAGGTTTTACCTTATAAAGTGTGAAAGAGCTTTATGCAGGGAAAGGTAAAACCTTTGCATATACTCCCGGTTATGATTTAGACTGATGCTTTAAATGAGTTTGAATGGCTGAGCGACGTTAAAGGGCAAGTTTCACAGAGGCCAATGACATCCCTATGCTTGACCTAAAATAACATAAATGATTTTGGAGAGTGTCCTTTATGTCTTTCAAGCTGCATGATACACCTGTGTCATTCCCCAAAAACTTTAGCAAGGCAAACCACCAGGAAGCAAAAAGGAATGCCACCCAGCCTCCTGATTTCCACCTGTGATTCCTCCGTAGATCTCTTGGTTGGGCTCCGAAGACGCCTACCGGCTGCCTGACCTCCTGCAGAAAATCTCCTCCTCCAGCCCTTCACATAACTCACAGAGAGCACACGACCTCAGCTACTCGCTGTCGCCCACCGCCCCTGGGTCCCCCACGCTGCAAGACCTGCATGTGAGTCTAATCAGGCAAAAATGTGCGACCCAACAAAGGAGAATACTGGACTCATTTTAATGCCACTTGTTATTCCTCATTAGTTATCAGTGGATTTACAAACGTCAGAAAAGAGGAAGAGCTCTTTTGTATCAATCAGCTTCAGACTAGTGGACCGCTGCATTAGTCACATTTATCCAGCAGAGAGCAGCAGTGCCTCAGTTAGATAGTCGGCTCTGTCTTCTAATGGAGCTTTTTTATTAATGCCTTCCCGGCGAGGTTCAGCTCTACTCAGCTTTTCTGCGTCTCCATTAGGGGCTGGCACCTCTTCACAGTTATAATTTTAGCACCCACTTGCCGGGGTTCCGAGCAGGCTTAGTCGGGCCGACGTCAGACTGTCAGCTGTTGATTAACCAGGGAGCCACATGAATGGGAGAGTCAGTGAAGAGACTCCTTTACGATAACACCGCCTAATTTAAAAAAACAGAGACAGACAAAAACAGAGTCACTTTCTGTTAGGGCCTCATTTGTAATGGAAAACCACCTCAACTGATTAGAGCCCAGTAGGCCTGAGTAGGTATTAATGGAAACCCCCTATAAGTGTAGTTTTGGCCAGCAAAATTTGAAGCAAAGAAAGCGTTTGCTAGCAAGGATACAATGTGAAGAAAATCTTACTTTTTTGTCACTGATTTATTAACTTCAGTAGCATTTTTTGTTTTTTGTTTTTTTGACATAAAATATGTACATCTGTCATTCTCGTTGAACCCACCAGGCTATGAGTAGTCCTACTGGCAAAAGCACCTCCTCCTCCTCATCCTTCCTGTCCTTCATTGACCCAAGATTGATCCCAATATCGTCGCCACCACAGAGCCCCAGTGAGTCCACCTACAAACCTGAAAATGAGTAGATTGGATCCATGTTAAATGTGGTCTTGTTTGCAACCTTACATTTGCCCTTATTCTAGCATATTTTAGTCATAAATCCAGTTTATACGTTATGGTAAAGTATCGACACATAAGCCTATGAAATCTGTTTGTATGTTTTTTCCCTAATTAAGGAGCTCCAACTCAGCCACATCCTGTTAGCCTTCATGTTTTCTCCTTTCCCCCCACCCGTCCCTCTACAGCGGCCATTAAGGGCGAGCCACTCAAAAGAGAGAGCCACAGGAAGGGCTCTGTGGTGAACGTGAACCCCACCAACATTCGACCGCAGAGCGACACTCCGGAGATCCGCAAATACAAGAAGAAGTTCACCGCCGAGGTCCTCTGTGCTGGCCTGTGGGGTGTGTAGCTCTACCCCATGACCACCCTTGCTCCTGCCACGGCATGTTGCTTTATTGTCATCCATTTGGCTCAACAGGGGTGAACCTGCTGGTGGGGACAGAAAACGGCTTGTGGCTGCTGGATCGAAGCGGGCAGGGGAAAGTCTACTCACTCATCAGCAGGCGCCGATTTCAGCAGATGGACGTTCTGGAGGGGCTCAATGTCTTGATTACGATATCAGGTACACACTCTAGCACCTCGTACGGGGAAAAAACAAAGAAAAATGTTGGCCTATCATATCTTAACATAGTCCTTTTGATGATATTGTTATTCCAACTGAAAATAAAATAAACCAAACAAATTTGACCCTTGAAATAATCTCTAGGTATAGACAAAAAATTATGTTGAGTTTGTTTTGGTCCATCCACCTCCGCAGGGAAAAAGAACAAGCTGCGTCTGTACTACCTGTCCTGGTTAAGGAATAAGATTCTCCACAACGACCCAGAGGTGGAGAAGAGGCAGGGCTGGACCTCTGTAGGTGACTTGGAGGGCTGTGTGCACTATAAAGTTGGTAAGTCCCGATCTAAAGGCCACCTCCATTTGAGCTTAAATATGTTAAAAAGTAGTTCAACACCTCTTCGTCTTTTTGTCCTGTTTTTCGCAGTGCGTTACGAGAAGATTAAGTTCTTGGTGATCGCGTTGAAGAATGCCGTGGAAGTGTACGCCTGGGCCCCAAAACCCTACCACAAGTTTATGGCTTTCAAGGTTGGTTGCATTTAAAGAAAACAGTAGCCCTTCACAGATGTCAGGAAGAGCAGAAGGGAGGTTATAGAGTGCTGCGCTCAGCCACATTAAAGATGGAAGCACCCATCTGTCTCATCCACAGAGGACAAACTACAATCCATCCAACAGTGTGTTTTGTGAAAACCTATCAAATAGAATCTGAAATGCCTAAAAGGAGACTCTAACCAATACTTTTAGGCAAAATCCAGCTAGTCTCTTCATGACTCCTGTGTCATCCTTTGACTAGATTAAGTCCCCAGCTGGTTAATCCCCCCCCTCCTTTATATTTTGTCTCCTTAATAGTTTTTTTCTGATAGATGTCAACATGAAAATGTATTTGAAAGAATCTAAGTGGGTTGGTTCAGACGTGACACATCCAGGCTACGAGCACAGACTCTCAGCAGAGCGGTGTCCCATTTTATTTTTGTCCTCTGTGGCTTGGGCTACTTTATCTCCCCTCCTCTCTGGTTTAACCCTCTCTCCTTAGAAAGTGACAAAAATACACCCCGCGGAAGCGATAGCATGGCTGTCCTGGGCCGTGGCTTTTACTTTTCAAACAGTGAAAGTCAGGCGTTGAGTCATCGAAAGCGAATGTTTGGGTTTGAGTTTAAGATGTTTTTGCTGAAACCTGCCCCTCACTGACTCCTCTGATTGTGTGCACGTCCAGTCCTTTAGGTCGCTGCCTCAAAGGCCGCTCTCCGTGGACTTGACTGTGGAGGAAGGGCAAAGGTTAAAGGTCATCTACGGCTCTTTGTCTGGTTTCCACGCCATCGACGTGGACTCTGGAACACCATATGATCTCTACCTTCCCACACATGTAAGCGTCCATTCTGTTCTCCTTGCTGTCGTCATAAATATGAGAAAAGCTTTCTTTTATGTTACCAAATGGAGAGTTTATAACATATGATAAGCATTGAGAATCATTTCCCAAAGGCTTTGATATAATCTGTGATAAAGCCATGTGAGACTAAGTCGACAATCGTCCCCATGACACCAGACAAGTCTCATCTGAGGAGCCTCCCGTCTCATCTGGCTGACAGACGTCAGCAGCAGGTCCGCTGTTTTACGATAAAGAGCTGCTCCGCAGATGTTAAACAAAGACCAGAGAAAATACCTTCATGGTCTCCTTTGTGCTCCTCAAAACCATCTTGTGTTCAACCTTATTTATAAACTTCAAAATCCGATCCAGGCTGATCACAATTTAGCTCTTTGTCAAGCATTTATGTTACATCAGTTCTGTTACATCAATTAAACTGTATTTAAATCCGGGTCCATTTCAAGCAGTTAGGACTTTTGAGAGACTGCCCAGCTAACAACCAACAGATCACATCTTTCATCCAAATCCAAACCCTGAGCATCAGTGAGGGAACTTTTGAGTGGAAAAATCTATTTTTGAAATGAGAGAAACCAGAACAATTAACCAGACTCAGGAATAGACTTGATTCTACAGCTCGACCAGCTGGGGTTTGAGAGGACGGGAAAGAGAGGGCAAAATGCACTACAAAAAGGGGATACCTGCCTTGAAAGACAAAGAGCACAAGAATGTCACATGAATCCAAATCGGAATTAGCTTTGTTTGAATGTATTCACATAGAAGGAACTCATTTGAGAGCAGATGTCTCTCAGGTCTCTCTGGTTAAAGAAGTTGTTATAAATGTATAGTGAGTAGGAAAGATTATAAAAGCGGACGAGTGCAGTACAAATTTAGCCTGTCTTCACTGTTACACATCAGTGAAAAGAGGTGCATCATGGGAAGCCTATAGCAGCAGAACTGGGATGTTGTAGGGTCACCTGAGCCATCCATAACCGAAAGCTTTGAGTCCTAATCTTAAAGATAGAGAGGGCATCCGCATCCCGATAACTGAAGGCTCTGCCTCCATTCTTCTCTTTGAGAGTATCACATCTAGAGAATAGGCCTACTAGGCCTGAGGCTTTCTGTCAGCCTGGCTTTATTTTGCTTCTCTTTCAGGCAGCATCATCACCATGTCATTAATTTTTGTCCTCTTCCTCCCACTCCTGCTCTTCTCTGTTTCATCTTCATCTGCTTCCAAGCTTCTTCTCCCCTCTTTGTTACGGTGCTGTAAATCTGCCCTCCAACACACCAATGTCCATTCTCTCCTTCACTCCAGTAGTTGTTCTTTCAGTTTTTTTTTATCATTCTTTATCTGTGGGCAGGTACGGCTTACAGGAGGGCGCCATGACTCATCTCTTGAAGCTCTCTTCTGGCATTTTAACGTTCATTAGTAGGAGTTGACTTTGAGAGGCTGTTTTGCAGGAATCCTGCTACGCTCCAATTCGTGGGCAAAACCTTCTTCACATGCTTATAAGAGATCTTTTAAAGGCAGACCGGAAACGGTATAGCCGGCTAAAAGTTTGTTCATATGTGTCAGATTTGTGGGCGAGCTGTATTGAATTGGTGTAAGCGGCCGGTTACTTAAATCCAAAGCCTGGGAAGAGATAATGAAGTGCTCAAAAGCTTTGAGTTTTGCATTCAGTCGTCACCATCTTGGTCTTTCTTGAGCTGAAAGTGACCATATTTGGACAATGAGGCCGCACTGGAACATCATTTTGGAGTAATGTTTTTATCCGTGAAAAAATGGAATGATTCACAGTGCGTATGATGGATTTAAAGCTCATCACTTTTATCCCATTTGAGACTTTTTAAAGCAACATGAGTTGTTTTCATCCCCCTAAAGGTCCTAATGACAGTGTGAATGAATGTGCATTTTTAAGCATGAGCAAAACGCCCACCGGTGGTAGAATTTGTTTTTCTATTTCCTTTTTTTTCCCCACTCCTCTGCTGCATGTGGGCTCGTACAGCTCAACAGAGACTCCAGTGAGTCATCGTCGCATTCTGACACCTCCTGTTAAAGATGTCTTCAATAACAACTGGAAACTCGGGAAGCAGGAGAGCCCTTTGCTTGTCTTAGCTCGCATATAGTGTTTTTGATAAGCACTTCTGTTCTTCACAGATGGCAATTTTTCATACAGATATACTGTTTTTTTTTTCAGACTAACCACCCACATGAGAAGTGCGTGGTTATATGTTATGTTTTTATGTGTAATGCAAAGGATGATGGCAAAATTCTGTAAATATAAAGAAGAAATTGTTTATTAAAGCACATTTGGGAACAGAAGTTGCAGATGACCAGCAGGACACATGCACATACTCAGACACACAAACACATTCACAGCCACTTTTTGGAAGTGTGCTACTTTCTGTCTGCAAGCAAAGGAGGAGTTGGAGCAAAATGAGCTCTAAAAATACCTCCCTCCTGTCCTCCTTCTCCCACGATCATTAACTCCATGTGAGCGCGTGTTCTGACCTGTTCTTGCTTTTTTTTTTTCCTCCTCCTCTGGTATATTAAACCAGTCCGCACTCAGCTGCCTAAAACACCAGTGCCTTATAGCGCTGCTGCTTCTCCATTTTCTGTTGGGGTTTTTTTCCTTTCTTTTGTTTGTTTGTTTTTTTTCTCTCCTCCTCTTCATACACAGTCAAGCTTCTTCCTTCAGACAGACTCAGACTTTCTTTACACTTATTTCCCTCTAAAGGACCCATCACACTCTCCTGCTGCACAGGCACACTCCGATACACTCACTTTTTACACACACACACACCTGCTTGCATTATGACAAAAACAGCACTGTTAAAAGTAGTTCTTATTCACACCTAGTTGGTCGCAAACTATGCGGCCAGCCACTTAAAAAAGCACTCACACACACACACGCACACACACACACAAGCATCTGTGGGCGCTGCCTGCGAACTATGTAACAATGCTGATTCCGAGGCAGAGGATTAAGATCGCGCTGCGCCTGTGGATGCCCGTTCTCATGCTCAGGATTGTGGTGGCTCATACTCTGGTAATGTATGAAACCGTAGCCCCTTTTGTGTAAGCCGGCTCAGAGCGCTGCCAAACTTTTGTCGGGTTAGGGTTTTTGTTTTTTTTGTTTTGAAATAAGCGGATTAGTTTTCGCCGCAGGCTTTCCGTTTAAAATAAAAAGCTCAACTCTGATTGTCAGGTGACTTTTTGTTAGATAAAGTGGTTTAAAACGAACCAGGAGCTTAAATACAAGTGGGCTGATAGAGAAATATTTTTGAACCTCTGGAATACATCCCACCAGTCAGAATCAGATTAAACTGACAGTTCTAATGACAGTACTAATGTGATATTACATTTCTTTCCCTTGTTTAAAGATATTTTCTGCAAACGTAGGTACCCGCAAAATCCACATCTGACTTGTGCTATAGAAACACATTTAGCAGTTTTTTTATTGCTAAAGTCTAAACAAAGACTTTTGACTGAAACATAACGAATAACAAAGTGCAGGGATCAGCAAATCTCCCAAACTGTCAAAGAAAAATGCAAAAGTTCCTGAATGACAACACTTTAAATGATGAAAGTGAGACATTTTTATGAAATAAAACAAGCATGAGCTCTTACATTTGCGTTGCATTAAATAAAAGAAACCAACCACGTTGGAACTGGTGAGGATTAAATCTGCAACAATCGGGTTACATTAATTTGTGGAGAAAGAGCACTTTGGAGAGGACGAGACTCTCAGTTTACAAACACCAAAATTCCCCAAAAAGCTATTGAGTAATTTCAGAGTAACATTAAATGTTCCATCATCTGTAGCAGGATTTCTCAACCCTGTTCCTCTAGGCACACTGTCCTGTCTGTCTCCCAAGTTTCCTGCTCCATCCTATCATTCTTCAGTTCTCATCATCCTTCTGTGGGGCTCACAGACTTGAAGAGCTGTTCTATTTATTCAAATCACGTGCATTGAAGTGGGAAATATTGGAAACACTTCTGTGTGGTACAGAATATCATCTGTACACATGTCTGTGCGCCGATATATCAGTGTTTGAGCCCTATGAACGTTGAGCCCTCAGGCCGTTTTTGAGATATGAAGAGGACGCCTGTCATAACAAATCACTGCATGCTGAACATCATTTTAAATGGACTAAGAAAAGCTGTGGTCAAATGAATCCAAGTGTGAACTTTTGTTTGGAAATGTTCTTATTTTTCTTGGGGATGGGTGTTAGTTACCCTGGAATGGAAAAGCTATGTTGAACATCTTGAAGGCTCCATCACTGTTGGAATGTATATAAAAGGTTTTAGATCAACACATGCTCCCATCCACATGATTTTTTCTCTCCTGTTTCAGCAGAACGATGTTGACCCTCATACTGCATGGCTTCATTATGTAAGGTCACAAAGAAAAACAAGAATGAGAAAATCCTTGACAGTTGAGCAGCTGGAATCTATTATCAGAGAAGAATAGGGCAATCTCCCAGAGATTCAAAGGGAGCTATTGTATGTTCAAGGAGAGAGTTGACGGTCTAATTTGTCACGTCTGATGTTTTGTTTGGTCTCTGAGATGTTCGGATCTTAAGATCTCAAATCACATTTGTTTTAATTTACAGTGCAGAAAACATCCCAAAAGTGTTGGGATTTTGGTTTTTAACCTGGGGGTTTTAATCAGTTCCAACAAAGTTGCTCTGAAATCCGAAATGGAACTGGGTTCTTTTTATTTCCTTTTTTATCCCCAACAATTCCAATTCAGTTTCTCCTTTTTTTATGTATTTATTTTCTTATTTTCTCCTCCAACATTGCAATAGAACGGTGCAATGTGACACTGTTTTGGGGCTTTACCATTTAAAATACCTCCATTATTACAATTTTTCTTTACATTAATTTCAGATGTCTGGCAGCAGATTCAGAAAATGATAATTTAACAGATTTCTTGTTGTCTTCTGTTCAAGCTCTAGCAGTTGTTTTCGTTTATTTATTTTTTTCTATCCGTGGATTTTATTTGTTTCGATATAAGTTTGACCTAAGGATCTGTGTGTTTGTGACAGATCCAGGGCTCCATCCGCCCCCACGCCATTATCATTTTGCCTAACAAAGCTGGAACAGAGGTTCTGGTTTGCTACGAAGACGAGGGCGTGTACATTGACACATACGGCCGCATCACCAAGGACACGGTGCTGCAGTGGGGGGAGATGCCTGCGTCTGTTGGTAACTTGCATATACTTACTAAACACACATCAATATCAACAGCTATAACTCCTACTTATTTCACAAAAGCATGTCCTGTTTAATTGAAATGGGTAAATAATTATGATGGACATGTGGAACAGGAAGTCTTGGTCTTCTATGACGGGGATTTACTGGTTCTGCATGATGCACTGTTCAGACAGGGCTTCATGGCGGTTCCAAAACCTCATCTTAAACCAGGTCGTACATTTGGAAAAAATTCAAAACAAAGTCTGCTCTTAACTGGAACAAAATTAAAGAAAAACTGCAGTTGTTCTCCATCTCATCAGTGGGCGTAATGCTATTTTTACACACCATGCGTGTATGTAATCGCCCTCCACCATAAACATTCATGCCGTTGCTGTGCATGCTGGACAGCTAATTCTGAGGACCAAAGTTCTCCCAATTTGTATCAAGTCAAACAGGTGAAAAACACAAAGAAGCACCAAGATTTTGAGACCTCAGAAGCGTAATCCGTCTCCGAAAGCGCTACATCTTTAAATACTGCATGCATGCTCATGGTGTAGTGAGTCCTTTCCCAACCCCCACCCTCTGTGCCCATCTGTAGCCTACCTGCAATCCAACCAAGTGATGGGGTGGGGAGAGAAGGCCATAGAGCTGAGGTCGGCCAACACAGGAAACCTGGAGGGTGTTTTCATGCACAAAAAGGCCCAGAAGCTCAAGTTCCTGTGTGAGCGGAATGACAAGGTGAGAGGGATCCTGTCAAAACGAATCAAGAAGTTTTTGATAATCAGATAATAAATATTCTGGTTTGTGTTTTTTTACAAAACAAACAAAAAGACTCAACAACACAATTTATTCAAAAAATTCTGATACTATTTAAGGCTAATAAGTTTATAAGTCATTATAAGGTTTAGGTTCCTTTAACCTGATCACCAGTCACACCCGGGAAGCCTTATCCAAAACTAGTAGTGTTGGCAATCGCTCTTTGCTAGTCACCTTGTTGGAATGAAAAACCCTTTTTTTAAACCTAAAGAATATTTTGTGTCCTTCTAACCTGGTTATCAAACAGTATTCTCTAAATAAAGTTAAGATACAATTTAGTTTACAATGTTTTTTTGTTAAGTTGTTTGTTAAATGTAGACGCCACAGATTCATCTCCTGAATTTGTTTGTTTTTTATGTTTGAATGAGCTAATTGGCTAATAGGTGAGAGCTAATTGGCTTAACAGAAAATTTATGCGGTAAAAATCAAGCTCTAACTGATTAAACGCAAAACATAAAGAAATAAGGGGGGCTTGATGCTTTTGCCTACCAAATCATGCCGTTGTCAGAAGATAATTCCTCAGAAACAAACTCTTTTGTAGATCTGCAGTGAATGTTAAGAGGATATTCTGTGTAATTAGCAGCTGCTTTTCACCCTCTGGAAAAACAATGTGCAGTTGATGAGAACACGCGTCCTTAAACCTCTTTCTCGTTGCAGGTGTTCTTTGCCTCAGTTCAGTCAGGAGGCAGCAGCCAGATTTACTTCATGACGCTGGGACAGAACTCGCTCTTTAGCTGGTAACGAGCGGACCTGTTAGCTCTGGCATCAACCGGCGGGGTCTGCCGTCCTCGTGCTGGACTTCCCCGATGATTTCTTTTTAACTCCTCATCCAATTGAATAGTGGACGGGACCGGTACTGTGATCAGCCAAACATTCCTCAGTCCATTTTTCCAGACCTGTTAATGAGTAGCAATCCGAGGACGAGTTGGTCCGAGTCCAATCATTCCATCCTCAGCTACTAACGGCCCGAGCAGAACAAATGTCTGGAATCTGGCCTTGGTCCGAAGTCGCGTCATATCCACCAAAATGGAGTCCTTTGAGAGTGACGTTACCTTTTCCGGGGTTTAACTGTCAGTCAGGCAGAAATTTCAAAGCTTCTGTTTCAATATTTGAACTCATGCACTCGTTTTCCAGATCAGCAAAGAGTCAGCTCTGTTTGTAATACCTCAAAGCTGTTCTGTGTCCATGAAGGCTTGTACCTAAGGATGGTCTTTCCGCTCTAATCAAATTGACCAGATATTACAGAATTCCTATGTTCCCGATTTCTAGGAAGTATCTAGTCCTGCATGGTCAGACTGTACACATATAAGAAGTATATCCTTTTTACTTGATTTTTATTTAGAATTACGGAGAGTGAGTGTCACTCTACAATTTACAGATCGTCGTTATCCTTTAGCTTAGCTTAGATCCGATCTCTGCTTTCCCCACTCATGTTTTGTTCCAGTGTCAGCATCCGGTCCGCCACAGATCTAAATAACTTTGATTATTTTTCAGCTTTGGGACCAAGAGAGTTTGCTCTAACAGTACAGAAGAAGCGGCACACACAGAGACGCCAAACAAGAACAGTTAACCGGCAACGATTGCTTCGCTGTAGGTTTCCGTCTATTTTGTACAGCTTAAGATGTATAAAATTGTTGAAGTTGTTTTCTAAATGTTTTCTAATATGACAAGCCATCTTTATGTGTGTGTACAGAATGATAGATTATAGGTTTATAAATGTGAAGTTCAATCCCAAAGCAGAGCACACGTGTTAGTTCGATGATCTTTGAATGTTTGTGAAAATGAATACGAGCTGCTAACAGTCAAAATTTGAAGGCTCTTGTTCAGGTTCCGCCGAGCCGATGGAAGCATTCAAGGTGAAGTGCTAATTTTGTTTTTTGGTTGATTTTCTCTTGGGGTTTTGCACAGTAGCCACCATGTACATGTTTTCTGTTACTTATTGTACTTTAAAAGGACTCTTGGTTAAAAGTAGAGACATTTAAGTAATTCTTTATGCAGTATTAACTGTTGATCAGTATTTGTTACACTATACAGTATGGGATGCACACCCGTTTCTGATAGGTCAACTTGATGAAATGATTTTTTTTTTTGGATAGATATTATTGAGCCTGAGTATGAGGAGTTACAATGTGCTCCTTTAGAATGCCCAATTGTGTATTTGTTTGTTTTTTAGCAGTAGTGATTATTTCCACTATGTAATTTCCCCCTTTTTGAGCTTAAAAGAAGAAACCAAAGATAAAAGTTTGAAGGAATTTGATGTGTGAGCTCAAAATGTATTACGATACTGCACAAAAGGTGACAACCAACATATCAGCCTGCAAATCCCCCATGACTCATGCGTCATGATAAATCACAAAAAGAATATGCAAGTTCTTTTGGTAGATTGCATTTATTTGATAGCTTATGTTTTGGATTTAGGTAGTGTTAAGTTTGGTAAAGGTGTTTTTTTTTTATGTATTTTTACCATAAGATGTGAATTTGCATTTAGCCATTGGCATACCATTTGAGCTAAACAATGAGGTTTAGCTTAACAGTTTGGGCAGAACCTCATTTTGTTGCTTAAAATGACAATTTTGCATTCCATGATCCACTTCAGTGCGTTTAGTTTTGATGACTTTTACGACATAAAAACCGCGCCAAATGTTTTATATTCAGTCACGCTTTCAGTTTTTTCATTATTATGATTATTATTATTATTATACACTTGAGCGAAATATTGCAGCTGGTTCTGTGGGAATATTTCAAACTGGAAAAATGAACTCACTGACTTTGTTGTAAAAATTTTATCAAATGTCTAGTAGTGTTTGTTTTAAGTTGATGAGTAATATTTCCTGTGACATATAAAAACAAGAACTTCACATGTCAACAGTGCATGAAAGTGGCATGAATTTATCAAGCTAACAAGTTAACTATTTCTTGCTAACATTGGCTAAATCTAGTAGAACCGTTAGCTAGCTCCAAGATTCTAGCTAACACTTTAAGCTAGAATTCTTTTAATATGTGGACAATATAAAGGAGGTGCTTGGATATATCCCCTTGCAAAAAATATGATCTTAGCTGTAGAAATCCCTTCAAGTATTATTCAGACTTATACAAAAGTTCTAGAAGTTTGTTTAGTTTTTTTTTTGTGGAGCAGATAAGAGAAATGGCCCAAAAATCAATACAATTATTTAAATAGACAAAAAAAAAAAGAATCAAAAAGCACTTATAAAGTAAACAGTGCGCAGTTTTGGAATTTTGTCAGAGTTTGTAGGTTTGGCCAGGTTCCTGAGCAAGATCCCGGCCAATAAAGAGCTCAGACAAAACATGAGACCGTGGTGAATTTAGCATCGAACTCTAACAGTTTTTAAGCACTAGCCTCTTTTTAGTGAAACCCCTCATTTTAAGGGGGGGGGGAGCAAATATTGTAAATGCCAAAAAGCAGAAACAACTTCCTAAATTTGTTAGCCAAATCAAATAGTAATTTCTTTTTAACAAGATCACAGGTCTTTTGTCTGTTCCATTTAACAGTTAAGTAGTAAAGTCAGATTTATGTGGTGCTGTTATACAAGAAATCAGGCCCCTGCTAAGAAAAAATGATATCAGCAGAATTTGACTCTTCCCTCATTTTGTCCTGTAAGTTTCTGTCTGCTCGCTGAATTTTGAAGCTTTATTTGTTCAGTCTTTTCATAAAAATGCATTTTCTTGGTTTATAATTCTCTATGGAATAATCCTATCGTGTCCAACTTTGATTGGACAGCTCATATGAATTATCTGATGTTAATTCCTCGGTGGTATAAAGCTGCACTTTTTGAGAATACTTTTGTTGTTGAGTTTTTCGAAGAAGCAAACCTCTGCCTTATGTGTCTCCCTGTTGCTAAGCATTCCACTGTGGCTGCATCACTAATGAGAGCGCATACAGTTGCATCTCCTCCCACATCTTCCACTGGTTACGTTCATGATAGATTCCCTTTCAGGCGAGTGATGACTCACATTTTTTAACTTTTTCACATTTCCCCCCCCCACATTCTTCAGAAGTTTTCTTCTTCCAGTTCATTTTCAGTCCCACGGCTTTATTCCACTTTACAGTCTCCTGGATCTTTCTTATGCATCCACAAATATCTGAAATGATCTTTGTCATTGTTTGCCCCGATATTTTTCGCTTTTTTTGGATGATGTGGGATATAGATCGAGTTCTTTACCGTGTGCACAAACAACATGTCTTAAGTCGATGTTTTTTAGATTGCTTGCGTGGGAGAGCTTGAGGTAGCTGGGGAATAGATGCTCAGCAGACTGGAAGTTAAAGGTAGGAACGATGGAAATAGAGGAGGGAGCTGTTGATTTGAGTCAGGTGTCGGTAAATAGAAAGGAACAGGCATGTTTTGTGTGGATTGTGAGTTTCAATTGTTGAAGGGGATTTTCATAGCGAAGGATGAGGAAATGATAGAGTTCTTGCTGGAAACTTAAGTTTAAAAACCCACCTTAATTTCATCTCTGCTTAGTGGGATAAACGTTGTCTTCCTGCTGCACAGTGAAGCACCAATTGTTTGTTTTTTTGTTACAGTGTGCTATTTTCCAGAAACAGTGAACGTTGCGCTCCTAAAATGTAAAGTTTCTGAAGAAAAGTTGACATTATCCACAGCCATATATGATTATGTGTCATTCCAAAAGGTTCTCTTGTTGTTACGTTTTGTTTTTGCACTGGACCTTTGTGTGATGCGTTGTAAACTGCACCCCTCCTGCTTTGAGATGAACACTTTGTATTTCCATGTAAAAAGGCAAAAAGATATTAAGACCAAAATAAATATAATGAATTGTATCGTGCTGCTGTGTTTT